ATCATAATAAATAGATAGTAATTCAAATACTTTGGAAAAGTGCCACCCAGAACTAAATCAATACAGTGCAGACCTGATAAGGAGAACTCAAAGAGGACCCTTATCGCTGGGTTCTTCTTATGAAGATAGAGTTCAAGCAACAAAAATTGCCAAAGATAAACAAATCATTCAAATTCGCCATAACCGAGATTGCCTTCAGCGGTCTGCACTGTATATGCAGTCTATCATAAACACAAGTGCTGAGTGCCTTTTTATACAGACAGACATATGTTCACATAACACATCTTTGCAACCAGCATTCAATGCAGTTAAAAGTAGGTATGATCACTGATCCCAAAAATTCAGCGGTGGAGATCCAGTGATCACCATTTAACATGTCTGACAGGATCACATCATCGAATATGGTGAAAATTCAGTGATCACCATTTAAAATGTCAGACATGATCACATCTTCGAATATGGTGGAGATCCAGTGATCACCAGTTAACATGTCAGACACGATCACACCATCAAATATGTGGAAATCTGGAGAACACCATTCAAAATCTCAGACCTAATCACATCACTAAATGTGGTAAAAATCTGGAAATCACCGTTTAACATATCTGACTTATCATTAAAAAATGGTGAAAAATTCTGACATCACCATTTAAGATACCAGACTTGATCACATCATAAAATTTGGTGACAATCTAGAGATCAAAATTTGTTTAAATCTTTACTGCACTCACACCAGTCTCAGTGGTAATGATACAAACAACAGTCACTGTGTATGATTTAGTGACTACAGTCTAAATGGTGACGATAATAAATAGACATTACATAGGAAATGGAATTGCCACATTTTTCTCTCCAACTCTTACAATATAACTTCTTATGTCCTCAATTGTTCCAGTCTAACTTCTCTTGTCATTAACTGTTACATCTAAATTCTCATCTAATGAACTGTTAGACTAACTTCTCACCAACGGTTACAAGCTATCTTCTCACACAATCAGTTTCTACAAATTATCAGCTCATATCATCAACCATTACAATTTATCTTTTCATGTCAACAATTGTTACAAGCTATCTTCTTACATGATCAAGTGTTACAAGCTATCTTCTTACATGATCAAGTGTTACAAGCTATCTTCTCATGTCTTCAACAGTTACAAACTATCTTCTCATGTCATCAACCATTACAAGCTATCTTATCATGTCATCAACTGTTACAAGCTATTTTATCATGTCATCTACTGTTACAAGCTATCTTATCATGTCATTAACTGTTACAAGCTATTGTCTCACATCACCAGTCATTACAAACTATCTTCTCATGTCATCAACTGTTACAAGCTATCGTCTCACATCACCAGTCATTACAAACTATCTTCTCATGTCATCAACTGTTACAAGCTATCGTCTCACATCACCAATCATTACAAACTATCTTCTCATGTCATCAAATCTTGTAACATTATCTTCTCACATGACCAATAGTTACAGTCTAACTTCTTTTATCAACAATTTACACCTAACTTCTCCCGAAATCAACTTTTACATCCAACTTCATATGTAATCAGTTATTACTATATATCTTATCGCATCGTCAATGTCTACAAGCTACCTTCTCATGTCATCAACTGAAGCAATGCCAGTATCATCTGCTCCACTTTTGCAGTCTGACAAAGTATTACACCGACAGATGCAATGTCTGATGCTTCACAAGATCACCGACGTGAGTAAACTCCTCATCACACACCCCACATTTGTGAAGTTCCTTCGGCAAATGTGTTTTCTTATGTGTGGTCAGATTACTCCGGTGGTGAAACTCTGCCCCACACACATCACACATGAAAGCCTTCTGCCCTGTGTGGATTCTCTGGTGTGAGGTGAGATTGCTCCTGTGGTTGAACTCCACCCCACACACATCACATTTGTATGGCTTCTCCCCCGTGTGAATTCTCTGGTGGGAGGTCAGATTACTCCTATGGCTGAAATCTGCGCCACAGATTTCACACTTGTACGGCTTCTCTCCTGTGTGAATTCTGTGATGAGAGGTCATGTTGCTTCGGTGGCTAAACTCTACACCACAGACATCACATTTGTACGGTTTTTCGCCAGTGTGAATCCTTCGATGTATGGTCACACTGCTCTTCTGATTAAACCCTGCGTCACAGATATCACATTTGTATGGCTTCTCTTCTGTATGAATTCTGACATGCCGATTCAGACTAAACTTATAATTAAATTCCAGATGACAAATACCACAATTATATGGCTTCTCTCCCGTGTGGATTCGGAGGTGTCTGTTCAAATCACTAACCTGTCGAAAACCCATGCTGCAAACATCACAGATGAAGGGCTTCTCCCCAGTATGTATACGCTTATGGCCAGTTAATCCACTACTATACTTAAATGCCATGCTGCATATGTCACATTTGTAAGGTCGTTCCCCAGTGTGGATCCTCCTGTGGCCGCTGAGTCCACTGCTATACTTAAACAAAGCACCACAAAGTGCACACTTGTACGGCCTCTCACCGGTGTGCATTCTGTGATGTTTGATGAGGCCGCTCTTCAGGTGGAAGGCAACACCACAACTGTCGCACTTGAACGGCCTTTCCCCAGAATGCTTCTTCTTGTGCCTGGTCAGGTCGCTGTTCCGAGTGAACTCTGACCCACATATATCACATTTGTGAGGCTTCTTCTGAGGGCTGACTTTGGTACGTGGTTGAGAAACGTCTGTGGCTTCAGCAGGCAAGTCAGGGGCATCAGTGTCAACAGAATAGTCCATTTTTAACACTTTATTGTGGTCTCCCTGGGAGACTACATCAGGTGAATTACCGACTTCTCCCTTTAGCTGCTGCAATGCGCCTTTTCCAGTGCCACTGCTGACTCCTCCTTCCTGATTTACTGATGTGTTCTCCTTTGCACTGCCATTTACTTCTCTCTCCAGATGCACCTTCTCTGTGTCGTTGTTGACAACTCTTTTCAGATGTATTACTGTGTTCTCCCCATCACTGCTGGCTGCAGTAACTATTGTGTCTGTATCAACAGCTGAAAAAAAGGAAATAAAATGCAAAGTTTAAACAATCATATCTGCTGGTTTCGTGTCAACATATTCTAATTTTTTTTTAGCCCAAACTGTGTCACATTGGTAGTCATGTCTATCCGCAACCTTCTGTCTCATGTATTTTTAATCAATTTTGTCATAAATGATCGTCCATAAAATGGTGATAAACTGTCTAAAATCTTTTCTCTGTCTTCCTCTGCCTCTTCTCCCCTCCATCCAAATGTGCTCGTCTTTCTCCTTTTTATGACATAACCAAAGAATCAACATATATTAGCAGTGTATTCCGTACTGGTCAGTATCTGTTGCTTAGGTGTTGTCATATGTCGGGTTCAACCCCAGCTACAGATGGTTTGTCCTGCGTTGGTTTCGACAGTGGTACCAAAAGCTGACCCTTCAGAAGCAATGACAAACTAATGAATGTAAAATTTGCCTAGAAAAATCACAACAGCTAAAAAATGCTGAGGCTGGTTCTGCAACCTCCTGTAAAGGATACGCAACTAACTTTTGATTCCTTACTGACTTTGACTACATGTTACTTGTTAACCTTAGGGTGCTTCCCCTATATGTATGTGTTACAGTAATAAATCCATGTCACTGGAAGTTAGAAAAAGAGAATTCTCACATACAAAACAAATTTAATTTGAACATAAACTGTGAATCCCGGACAACTGTCAAACAAGCAAATAATTTCTTTAGGGCTCAGAAATTTGATTTTATTTAAGAATGCTTGCAATTTCTTGTACAGCCAGAATGAATAATTCAGATGTTCTGAAACAGGTGAAAGCTCAGAGACAAACTATCACAAAAATCAGAAGAAGACAGTCATTAATAGAAGAAGGAAACTGGAACACACTGTGTCCAGTGGAAAGATAGATAGAGGAAGACAAATTGAGAATATTCTTGACAGACTTTTGTCATAGCGCCAAATCAACCTCATAAAAAATGGACACAAGAGAATTTCCTGGGAAATGTGTCAGAAAAGGTGATGCGGAAAGGAAGAGGACATTCCACCCCATATGCTGCTGGCAAGAATGTGTGAAGGCTCAAAACTTCAGATATGAATCGCAGTATCTGCAATGGGACTTTCTTTAGAATTTATGGTAATTACAACGAACTAGTGAGTTGTTTCTCCTTTGTTGCGCCAACTCATTTCCTGGTAAACCATGATCCACTGGAGAAAAATGTATTTCCTGAGTTTGTTTAGCTGGCAGGTCAGTACTCCCTCCATGTTGTCTCTTGGATCCCTCTGAGTCACCTGGAGGACTGACATGCAGTCACGAAGGAAAACAATTTTGCTGTTTTTCATTTTTCTTTCCTCAAGCACTTTGGTTGCATCAAAAACTGCTTGCTGCTCTGACGTTTGTTGAAAGTCTTTCGGAGGGGTATGACGTTTATTCTGGGGTCCTATCTTGGGGCACGATGACCAATCAGCGCCTCCGTTTTTTTGCTGCTCCCTCCATTATTCCATCAGTGTAAATGTGTGTCGATTTGGGTTATGGCTAAGAGTTGTAGACCTGTTCAACCGTACTTCCGTCCAACACCTTTGTGTTTGCAGTTTTTGTCTACCATTCTCCCTATATTCTTAAACCACTGCAGTCTTTTAGCCCTTATGATGCCAGCAAGCAAGTACATTTTTTCTTGATGGTGCGCAATGGAACCCGCCACTGGCACCTTTTTAGGCATCATCATTGTCAGCTTAAATTAAACAGACATTTTGTGCTGAGTACAAACAACCTTTTTAAGACACACTATGGCGAGTACAGGCAACCTTTTTTTTTTAAGACACTCAATGGCGAGTACCCGTACCCTTTATTCCTAGAAAAAAATAAGCCATGCCAGTAATTTGTGGCGAAACATAACTTAGAATCTTGACAGCTAATCAGACAAAAGATCTTTTTCAAACAGGATGGTAAAAAGTACATTACAGTTTTCATAGGAAACTTACTTGTTTGAATTGTCTGAGGAGTGTTTTTGTTAGATGCTGGACCATCTCTCACCTCCGAGAGTTTCCTCTTGATCCCACCAGTTATCCTGCCCTGTGTGCCCAGACCTGCAGCACTGTTGTCATGGAAATGTACCTGCAGGAAGTCACATTATAAAATCTGCTGTGTCATTTGTAACAGTACAAAATCTGCTGTGTCATCTGTAACAGTACAAAATTACTGTGTGTGTCATTAGTGACTACACTCTGTGTGCATCATATGCAACAGTATAAACTATGACACTCGTCATCAGTAAAATAATAAAAATTGACATATGTCACTTGTAACAGTATAATCTGTGACCTATGTATCTACTGTAACAGTATAATCCGTGACCTATGTGTCTAATGTAACAGTATAATCCGTTACCTGTGTGTCTACTGTAACAGTATAATCCGTGACCTATGTGTCTACTGTAACAGTATAATCCGTGACCTATGTGTCTACTGTAACAGTATAATCTGTGACCTATGTGTCTACTGTATCAGTATAATCCGTGACCTTTGTGTCTACTGTAACAGTATAATCCGTGACCTTTGTGTCTACTGTAACAGTATAATCCGTGACCTATGTGTCTACTGTATCAGTATAATCCGTGACCTATGTGTCTACTGTAACAGTATAATCCGTGACCTATGTGTTTATTGTAACAGTATAATCCGTGTCCTTTTTGTCTATTGTAACAGTATAATCCGTGACCTTTTTGTCTATTGTAACAGTATAATCCGTGACCTATGTGTCTATTGTAACAGTATAATCTGTGACCTATGTGTCTACTGTAACAGTATAATCCATGACCTATGTGTCTACTGTAACAGTATAATCCGTGACCTATGTGTCTATTGTAAAAGTATAGATTCTGCCATGAAGCTGGCACACAAGAGGCCTGTGACTGCAACAAGCTTAGTTAGTCTATCCTCCTGTGCCTAAGGCGACGCATAGGGCAGAGGTCATAGGCTCTCCATGTCTGGCGGTTCGCTGCCACCTGTTTTAGATCTTGGATGTTCATTAGGCCCATGGTTGAACCTTCCCTGATGATGGTTCTACACAGAGTCTCTCTTGGTCTTCCCCGTTTTCTTTTCCCTTCCGGTTTCCATATGAGGGCATGATGGGGGAATCTTGTCTTATCTATTCTGAGTGCATGGCAGATGTAGTTACAGTGGCGCTTTTTAAAATTAAATTGAAGACATTATCTTGATTGGTCTTTTGTCTATTTGCCACAAGCTGCCCTTCCATAAATGTTTTAACCACTTTTCATAACAATGGGAAAAGTATTCACACCACGACTCTCAAGTGTCTTTCTCTTGTATATTCACACCATGACTCTCAAGTGTCTTTCTCTTGTATATTCACACCACGACTCTCAAGTGTCGTTCTCTTGTATATTCACACCACGACTCTCAAGTGTCTTTCTCTTGTATATTCACACCATGACTCTCAAGTGTCTTTCTCTTGTATATTCACACCATGACTCTCAAGTGTCTTTCTCTTGTATATTCACACCACGACTCTCAAGTGTCGTTCTCTTGTATATTCACACCACGACTCTCAAGTGTCTTTCTCTTGTATATTCACACCATGACTCTCAAGTGTCTTTCTCTTGTATATTCACACCACGACTCTCAAGTGTCTTTCTCTTGTATATTCACACCATGACTCTCAAGTGTCTTTCTCTTGTATATTCACACCACGACTCTCAAGTGTCTTTCTCTTGTATATTCACACCATGACTCTCAAGTGTCTTTCTCTTGTATATCCACACCACGACTCTCAAGTGTCTTTCTCTTGTATATTCACACCATGACTCTCAAGTGTCTTTCTCTTGTATATTCACACCATGACTCTCAAGTGTCTTTCTCTTGTATATTCACACCATGACCCTCAAGTGTCTTTCTCTTGTATATTCACACCATGACCCTCAAGTGTCTTTCTCTTGTATATTCACACCATGACCCTCAAGTGTCTTTCTCTTGTATATTCACACCATGACTCTCAAGTGTCTTTCTCTTGTATATTCACACCACGACTCTCAAGTGTCTTTCTCTTGTATATTCACACCACGACTCTCAAGTGTCTTTCTCTTGTATATTCACGCCATGACCCTCAAGTGTCTTTCTCTTGTATATTCACACCACGACTCTCAAGTGTCGTTCTCTTGTATATTCACACCACGACTCTCAAGTGTCGTTCTCTTGTATATTCACGCCATGACCCTCAAGTGTCTTTCTCTTGTATATTCACGCCATGACCCTCAAGTGTCTTTCTCTTGTATATTCACACCACGACTCTCAAGTGTCGTTCTCTTGTATATTCACACCACGACTCTCAAGTGTCGTTCTCTTGTATATTCACGCCATGACCCTCAAGTGTCTTTCTCTTGTATATACACACCATGACTCTCAAGTGTCTTTCTCTTGTATATTCACACCACGACTCTCAAGTGTCTTTCTCTTGTATATTCACACCACGACCCTCAAGTGTCTTTCTCTTGTATATTCACACCACGACTCTCAAGTGTCTTTCTCTTGTATATTCACACCATGACTCTCAAGTGTCTTTCTCTTGTATATTCACACCACGACTCTCAAGTGTCTTTCTCTTGTATATCCACACCACGACTCTCAAGTGTCTTTCTCTTGTATATCCACACCACGACTCTCAAGTGTCTTTCTCTTGTATATTCACACCACGACTCTCAAGTGTCTTTCTCTTGTATATTCACACCACGACTCTCAAGTGTCTTTCTCTTGTATATTCACACCACGACTCTCAAGTGTCTTTCTCTTGTATATTCACACCACGACTCTCAAGTGTCTTTCTCTTGTATATCCACACCACGACTCTCAAGTGTCGTTCTCTTGTATATTCACACCACGACTCTCAAGTGTCTTTCTCTTGTATATTCACACCACGACTCTCAAGTGTCTTTCTCTTGTATATTCACACCACGACTCTCAAGTGTCTTTCTCTTGTATATTCACACCACGACTCTCAAGTGTCTTTCTCTTGTATATTCACACCACGACTCTCAAGTGTCGTTCTCTTGTATATTCACGCCATTTAAGCCAACTTAAAAGAGAGGCAAAGAAATCAGAAAAATGTCTGCGGCCACTGGTAACAATGGTTATAAAACAATGGCTACATTGAAGACATCCTGAGAATAAACCAGCAAAGAATCACCAAACAGGCATTAAAATGGGAAATAAAGAGACTGGGGAAGTGACGAAATCCAAAATAAACCCTAAAATGAACGTTGATGAGAGAGGCCAAAGGTGCTGGACTGGATCCCCTTCATAATACCGAAGGGATTACACAAGACAGAACAGAATGGAGGAATGGACTGCAAGCCTTATGTGACATAAAACAGGACAATGAATGATGAATCCAACTTAAAACAAATACTGACCACTGAAAGCTGTATCCCACAAACTGCTGCTGTGAGCTGTGTTATTGTGGTGGCTAGCAGGTCAGCATTTCAGTCTGACAGTCGTGTGTTTAAACCCCTTAAACAAATTGTATGACCTGCATTCCCCCTGTGAGTTTCAATACCCTGGGGGGGGGGGGGGGGGGGATACTTAATGTTAGCATGTCTGAGGCCTGTAAGATCAGTGAAATTCTGTATCTGGGTGTTTTCCCTACAAAGCCATGTAGTGTCACCCTAGAGAGGCTGGTAGATCTTTTTACACACTACGTACATATGGGAGCCATCCTGGTGTAGCGGCGAGAATTCACCTGAGAATCTGAAGGTCGACAGTTCAAATCCGAACAGAGCCAGACTTTTTTCCCCATCAAAAAATGACCTTGGCTCCCAAGTCGACCCAGCCTTACATGGATACCTGGTAAAGTCCAGGGAAGTAAAGGAGGCCGGCGTGGTGTTGACCATATGACTCATCGAGTGCTGACTGATCTATACAATAAAGGTCTAATACAACATGCCCAGTAAGCCTGAAGGTGTGGAAACCAATCTTTATTTTATTTATTTTTATTTACATACATGCAAAACAATGACCAGGAGCCACCAGAAAGACAATTTAGTGGCCAAGCATTGTAACTTGATAACCCTGGCATACAACCTGGTAGAATCAACCAGAAAGATTATCTAGTGGCCAAGCCTTGTAACTTGATAACCCTGGCATACAACCTGGTAGAATCAACCAGAAAGATTATCTAGTGGCCAAGCCTTGTAACTTGATAACCCTGGCATACAACCTGGTAGAATCAACCAGGAAGACAATATAGTGATCAAGCCTTGTAACTTGATAACCCTGGCATACAACCTGGTAGAATCAACCAGAAAGATTATCTAGTGGCCAAGCCTTGTAACTTGAAAACCCTGGCATACAACCTGGTAGAATCAACCAGGAAGATTATCTAGTGGCCAAGCATTGTAACTTGATAACCCTGGCATACAACCTGGTAGAATCAACCAGAAAGATTATCTAGTGGCCAAGCTCTGTAACTTAATAACCCTGGCGTACAACCTGGTAGAATCAACCAGGAAGACAATATAGTGATCAAGCTCTGTAACTTAATAACCCTGGCGTACAACCTGGTAGAATCAACCAGAAAGACAATATAGTGATCAAGCTCTGTAACTTAATAACCCTGGCGTACAACCTGGTAGAATCAACCAGGAAGACAATATAGTGATCAAGCTCTGTAACTTAATAACCCTGGCGTACAACCTGGTAGAATCAACCAGAAAGACAATATAGTGGTCAAGCTCTGTAACTTAATAACCCTGGCATACAACCTGGTAGAATCAACCAGAAAGACAATATAGTGGTCAAGCTCTGTAACTTAATAACCCTGGCATACAACCTGGTAGAATCAACCAGAAAGACAATATAGTGGTCAAGCTCTGTAACTTGATAACCCTGGCATACAACAATAGAACTAACCAGAAACAAGCTCCAATTCTCACCTGCAAACAACTATCCAGATCTTGAGAGTTATCTTCACTTGGCTCCACCTTGATCACAGCCGATCCAAATATGGTCATTAAAAAGGGGTTCTCTATAACTGTCGCTGCAAGTCTACAATCTGGCAACTTGATACGCTGGTCATTAGAGCAAGCCTCCGTCTTGACTTGTGTTTTCTGTTCCTAGTTCAGGGTAGTCAACAGAGCATGTGTTCACAGGTTCATTAAGTCAAGTTTATTATCAGTCTTACTGGCACAACATTATTAGTGCAGGTAAGCTGAGGCTATCATGTTTCACCATTACACACGATCACCAGAGCCACGAATCAGTTCAATGTTCTTGTCTCACCCCATCCATCTGGCCAGGCCATCCAGGTATTTATCTCTTTGCTTTCCTCTTGCTCTCCTGCCATCAATCTTCCCAGTTGTGACTAAGTTCGCAAGTCCATTCGTTCTCATAATATGTACAAATAATATTAACTGAAGCCAGCTGCAGGCCTCGGAAATAAGATATCTGAGAAAGGTGGTCCAAGTGACACGAAGGGACAAAGTTCGCAATTAGACGATACGTCAAGATCTTGATACCCAGTCCTTACAAACTTGAGTGGATCAGTCACAGTTATGATGGTTTGGACATGTGTGCAGAATGGGAGAAAATGGGCTACCATGGCAGGCATGGGAGGCTAAGAACCAGGGAAACAGACTTCCAGGACGCCTGGGAAGACAACATCCGACAGTCCTTAACCGACAGAGGACTGGAATGGAACAAAGCCAGAAAGAAAACTGCTGATAGAGACGTCTGGCGATCTCTCTGGCAAACCTCTACACCCCAAGGTAGAAGATGAGCGACTAAGTAAGTAAGTAATGACTCTGTCTAGTTGCACCAGTGAGTTTATGACTCTCCTCTGCCTCAATAAGAACTGCTGGTTTGTTTTTCTATCCTTCCATGATATTCCATTCCAAGTGTGGCACAACATACATTTCTGAATATTACAATATGTGTACACTTGAGAACATCACTCCAAGTGTACTACATCTGTTAAAGTCACAATATGTGAACACATTTTTTGAACATCACAACATGTGTTAACATCACAATATGCGTATAACATTTTGAACATCACAAGATGTACAGAAGTTGTCAAAATCACATATACAACATTTGTTAAAATGAAATGTGTATAACATTTGCAAACATCACAAGTGTGAAATTTTTCAATGTCACAATGTTTATAACATTTATTACCAACACAACATCTGTGAACATCACATGTCATCTTTTGAATTGTATGGGTATGTTAAAAAAAAAAATGATCTTTTGCCTTTGTTAAGATCCCATAGCGACAACATAATTTTATAAACTTATGTGTTTATATGCAAAGAGATTTACTCGCCTGTCTACGTATGAAGAGAGTCGCCTGCGGATCGGAAGGTCGTGGGTTCGCTCCTTGGCGGAGCCGGACTTTTTTCAAAAATGACATTGACTCCCAGTTCGACCCAGCCTTGAGTGGGTACTGGGTGCAGACATTGGAAGTAAAGGTGGCTGACGTAAAGCTGACCACATCACCCATCTTGTGCCAATTGGTATAAAAATAATATAGGTCTTGTCCTCTATGTGTGGAAAAGGAACTTTTACTTTTTTTAAAAAACTTTTTATGTATGAAGGGATTTACTTGTATGTCAAGATGTAACAGGTCTGACTAATGTATTTATGTGTAACAAGTTTCATTTGTGTGTCAATGCACAACAGATTTGACTTGTATGTCAATGTATGAAGGGACTTTGACTTGCCTGTCTATGTGTGAAAAGTTTCATTTGTGTGCCAATGCAAGAAGGATTTGACTTGTGTGTCAATATATGAAGGATATGACATTTGTGGAGAAAGATTTGTCTCAAGTACCTATATGTAAAAGGATTGAATTCTGTATAGCACCCATGCTTGCAAGGTTTACCTGCAAGTCTATGCCTGAAGTGACCAACGTCATGAGAAAGCTTGAAGACATAGGATCTCCTTCCCCAAAAGTGCTTCACAGAAAGAAGTTGGGACTTGTTAAGTAGAAATTTGCACAGCAGACAAAAGGCTTAGCGTGGGTTGAAACTTTTGTATGGGAGTAAAAAAGAGACTGCAGTTCCATGGAAAGAAGGGACATCTGTACAGAGGATAATGATAAAGTTTGATATAATACCTGGACGACTGTAAGTGAGTGACATGGTTGTTTCTCTTGCTTGATTCCTTCATTAGCTTGCTCATTTCTTTCACAACCTAACAACAATGAAATAAAGCAATAAGTTAACAAACAAACAAAAACCTAATATGACTTTAATGAAGTGAGATTCACAAAAAGCCAGATGTTCATGATGCTTACAGTAATTACTGAGGTAATTCACATTTCCAAAGGAAATGGGAAATAAACACTTAATTTTCAAGACGTATGAAAACATTCAACTGACCTTGTCTATAGCTTATACAAATGTATACAAACACAGAAAGTAATCTTACAGGAATTCTTGTCCTCCATGCTGACTATGTCCGACATGCTGGTAGTTTGCGTTAAAGAACCAACATAAACAGGTTTCTGTGCCACAGAATCACCACAGTTGTACTCTCATGTTCTGTCAGCTGTGATGAAATTCTCTGTTAAAGATCACATAAAACAAGTCTCTGAATGTGCTCTGTTCTTTGGTGGTAAGTTTCTCAATGTGAACCTGCAAAAATAATTTAAACGAATGAAAATGAGTGAATACTCCATGTCACAATCTATGTCCGTTTTTTTAAAACAAAGGCTCCTGTTAGTAATAAATAACTGAGGTTGTCTACAGTTTGTATAAGCATCCCCTGCCATCTTTGAAAATTTTATGTGGTGAGGCCCCAAGTTCTAAGATATGATTCTCAAATCAGTATCTGAAAGCCACGAGAAAGATCTTTATTCTCAACTGTAAACTGAAGGCTAAATATAATGCCTAATAACTAGATTTAAAAAAAAGATACTGTGACAAAATAATACATACAACAGATGATATGGCTCGGCCATCTGATGCAACTACCCTGGTACCAACTGCCACAGAAAGCCATGCTGAAGAAATACAATGGACACAGAGAAAGGGAAAGACCATGCAGAACATGGAATGATGGCATCAAAAACAGCCTTAAGCAAATGAAGATCAATTTAAAATAACGCATTCAAAAGAGCACATAGAAAAATTAAACCCAGTTTTTTGATAAAGAACTGGAGGAAGAGAAGAAGAAGGTATCTATAAAGTACTGTCTATCGATTATCACTTATATGTTACGTCGGGCTCCTGAAAAGCAAAGAATAGTAACACTTCACTTTGCCCAGCAAATACAGGACTAGGCTGAGTTATCAGAAATTGTGTAAAGGAATGCACTGAAAAGAGATAACTATGTACAACAACTGGAAAATGAGTCTATACCTGTCTAAAGGAAGGGGGAACGGACCTCCACATATCTCTCCCCTAACAACGTAACATATTTGAAATCATTTAGAGATTTATTATTATTTCGTTTCAGGCAACATATTTTATATTATTCAGAGAGGATCAAACCCAAGTCTCCAGCAAAGAGAGCCCTAACCACTCAGCCAGACAGCTCCTATCTTTGTGTGTGTGTTTTTAATCAAATGTCTTTTCTTTCACATCCACTGGCTGTAAACGCTGGGGCAAAGTTTTGGGTGTTCGAACACTTTCCGATTTTACTCTTGTTCATGGACCTGAGTGTTGTGAGTACACCTATTTCACATATCTGTATGCAGACTGTTGGTTCCCTGCCTCTCGGGCAGTTGTACTCTGATTGAAGGATACCCCCCCCCCCCCCCCAATTAGTCGACTCCAATGACATGTTTGTTGCGGAGGCAGTGGGTCTATTCTTGTCTTCCCCACAAAGGAGCACTGAAACCCACACAATGATTTTATAATAAGCATCTTTCTTGTAGCAACATTTATGAATATTCAAGACATTGTTTTTCTGCAGTAAATTTAAATAATGTGGACACAAACACTACATTGCACCAGTTTAGCCTTAAATCGCCTGATTGACTCAGCAGACGTGGTGTTAATGTTAAGATCGGGGTTTTTGACTCAATCCGGTTAACATACTTGGATTTCAAGTTCAGTTCACAGGCGGGCCTCTGTTTGGATTTAGCAAGTGTATACAATGACAGATTTCTATCATACTTTTTGGGGTTATCACTAATACTAGTAGTAATACACAGATCTTGTCTTCTGAGATTTCATGTTGGCTCCCGCTCATGTGCATGTCCTAGCCGTTTTCACAGGCTGTCTCATGTTGCTGGAATGTTATGAAATGGCTTCATCACATATAATGTTTGTAGGAGCTGTGTAGTGCTGTGTCTGTTTGAGGCCATAACTACATGAATGAGCGGACACAAAATCTCTTGCCTGACAAGATGGAGTGACATTCGTGACTTGTGTACTCATAAACCAGTTATACTATTAACGAATCAAAAATAAAAATTTAAATGTATAATAGTGGAACTATTCAAATATTGGTAAACTTGTCTAAGTCTTAACAGAATATAAACTGGTTAAAACGTACACGCACACAGCGTGCACTGCATCGGAATTAATTAAATTGTTAAAACTCTCATATTTGTCAGTACTCAAACTCAAACTGTAAACTATGCGTATGAGTTTAGACGGAAAAGGCGCAGTTCGGGGAAGAAAAGGCGATGGAAGACCAGCAAAAAGATCGTCACAAGACATTAAAGATATCTAAAGCACAAAGCATTGGTGTTGGCGACAGACAACATCGTGACAGTTTTTTACTTTCCGCCAGAACCGTCGAACGGACGATATGATGACGGATGTTGTGATGCTGTACCAGGGATCCGCTTCCTCTGATAATAAAGAAATAATTAAACTCTGTTGTCCCCATATGTCAGCTAAAACTAACGTGTTAATATGAATGTACTTACCGTGCTTTACTTAATTTAACTTCAGGTAATCAGCTTCTAGTGGTAGAAAACCCTCAGCAACTCAACCATGATTGAGTTGATTGACGACATTATGCACAAAACAGTCAACTACATTTGCGGTCGCCATGTTGGATTGACTACGTTCTGGGGATAAATATATGAAGCCGGGATGGCTATTTGTCCGTGGAAGTGTTTGCTTTTGAACCTCAACACTTTTGAGTCTTCATTCATTGATGTTGTATTATTTATGTTTACTGTATATGACTGTCACTACCACCAGCACTCCCTATCACATAATATCCTTCAGACAATTTTGAGTTGAGTCAAGAATTGACGTTGCAGCACTCGGGGCTGTCCCATGCATGCTCCGTCCTCATCTTCAGCAGCCAGTGCAGATTTCCAATACTGATGGTACTCAGTACCGGTCGTAATCTTGTTAAATGTCCATCTTGCCTTTTCTCTGAGTGTAGTGAGTCGGCCAGATCCCCTGGTTACATCCAGGTGCCACATTCTCTCCGGGCCATAATAATATTTTTTCTCTACTAATTCCGTTGCTTGTTCCCAAAGAGCCTTGACCACGTCTGCCTTGTCATGCATCAGTTCACCCCCAAGTGGTGCAGATCCAGCCAACAGACAATTGTGTTGACATTGTTGTTCATGTATAAATGGGTGTTACTGTTAGACGTGGTAGTAGTCGGAGAAAGTTAGTTAGTTAGTTGGGTTATCCTCATTGCACTCCGGACATGTCCATAGGTGCTCAGATCCTCCCCTCAGTATGAACCCCAACGTCCGATGGCTAACAGTACCAACTACTACTACTACTACTACTCCGCCTCCTTTAATCAGTCGAAAAGGATAGTTGGCAGGCTGTGTTGCTCTTTAACCTAAGTTGTGTCTTACAGCTTAGCTCACCTGACTTCATCACCTTGTGTGATCACCAGCATCGTAGATTAGGTCAGTGTAACCCACGTGGCCGAGCCCTACAAATATTTATATATTTGTCTTTCTTTTGCTGTTTTCCCACCACTCTTGAAAGTTGTTATGAAGTTCTCGAGTCCATTTCTTCTCAAATGTCAGAACGACTGTCTATGGCAAATTGTTATTATCAGTGTATCACTTGTATTTCTCTCGAAGAGGAGAGAATCTTTCCTTCCACTGGGACTGGTCCAAAGCCTGGGGGGGGGGGGGGGGGAAGTAGTGTATAGGGAGGAAATCCAGCGATTTTTAGGGCTTGGTCGCTATATAACCTATATTAAAGCGGTGCTACTTTATTCTTTGTGCACCACCCATTGACATTGATGAAAACAAAAGAATTGGCACCGCTGACCCAGCGGTGCAGCACTTCCGGTTTGGTATTTTTAGATCAGAAAAGTAGGTCACCTGGCGGCTCGATGGAGGCTGGGGTCACATCATTCAGGGGCAAGGGTAATCTGACAGCTCAGCTAAGGCTCCTGTGCATCAGTGAATGGTGGGGCAGACAGAACAAGATACGAGGACTTAGGGGTGGTAGTGAGCAGGGGTGCACACCCCTGAGCTGTTTTAGGGGTTATATACTTTAATAAAACTATTGGTATTGATTGTCTTGGCAGCAGGGAATGTAAATTATATATGCTATATAGTAAAATATTAAAAAGTTATTATAGGGGCAGGTATCAGCCAGAGGTGGTTAAAAAGCATCATCATCAGCAATAGTCATGCCGACAGGCGGGGGCGAACATGTCTTGCCAGAGTCTGGTGTCGGATTATAGATGATAAGCTGTGGTTATGGTAGTATGCAACTAGGTGGCAGTAGCCGGTTATCTACAAACAATGCTGTACTGGGACAAGGTTCATCATGATCTTCTTGGTATATGGTGCTAGGAATTTACATAGAGTAAGGTGAAAACTTAGGGCAAATGGCAAGTGTCATGTCATAGGGTTAGGTTTCAGAAACTCATTGAGGGTTCAAGTTGTCATGTCAGCTAGTTACATAAGGATTTTTAAGGACTCAGCATACAAGGTCTGACAATTATGGCCAAGACAAAAAAGCCATCTATGAAGCAAAGCATGGAATCTAAACAGGCAACAGTCATCAATGATCTGGCAACTTTTTATCACTGACAACATAAGCACACAACAAACAAGCTGTCATTTTGTTGACATAGTCAGAGGTGCATTGTTACATAATCAGCACGGAGCAAAAAGCTAACATTAATTTTTTTCAACTCAGAAAAAGCGCCATTGAAACAACTGAATTGGTGAAACAAGTTTATTCCCAAAATTAAAGTAACGAGTAAAAGGACACTTCTTTAACTATACTGATGACATCCAAAGGGCCGTAACATCGACTTTAAGTGCCATAACAACAGAAAAACTACAGACATTGTTCCAGTGTTTGTTAGATCATGCCACTTGCTGTATCAATGCACAAGGGACTTACTTTATATCGGATACAGGTTATATCTTCAACTGTTGATTATTTACATTTGCATGGAATTAGTCTCAATACTGAATTGTCGGACCTTGTACTTCTCTAGATGGTCACTGGTTTCTGTGAATTGTTCACTGAAGCTTCTTGCTAAGTCAACCACTATCCTCAGGACACCTTAATGGGGATTATGTCTTTCATAAGGGGTTCACTGTCTTGGTACAAATTAAATTGCTCAATGTTTTTATCATTTGGGACACCCTAGGTCAATCAAGACACTTCTCAAGTTTCTTACTGAGCTTGGTAAGGCATTTACTGAAGTTCTTTGGTAAGGTCACCCACTATCTCTGGGACACCATAAGTCGCTCAGTGGACTTCACAACGTGGTCACTGGTCTTTGTAAGTGGTTCACCAAAATTCCTTGGTAAGTCGCTCAGGATACTTCTCTCGTTGGTCACTGGTTTTCTTTAGTCATTCATTGAAGTTTCTTACTAAGTCAACCACTATCCCCAGGACACCAAGAAAACAAGAGGCCAAACCAGAAAGTGATGGGTGGATGGAGTAAAAAAGATATGAAAAACATGCAATATGACATTAACACTAGCTACACCATTAGCAAAAGACAGGAAACTACACCAAACTCTTCTCTGCAACACTTCACCACATAAGCAGTAGGACAAAAGAAAGAGAGAAGAAGCTAATGTCATGGGATGAAAGATGGTTGAGAAAATTAAACTGACTGGCAGACAGACACACTTACATACATATGTACGCACCACCAACACTAACACAGATACAGGCTCTCTCCATCCTCCCTCTCTTATCATAAAATTAAAGAAACACATGAAAATGTTTGTGTCTACTCACTAATTTTAATATGAACACAAGTAAAGCATATTCTTCTGTAGATAATTTACAGCAGTAATTTACAGGAATGTGTGCAGGTCATAAACAATATTTGTGTAAAATGCTACACATATGTGTAATATGTGGTGAACTTTATATTAGGTGCACATATATTACAATTTACAGCAATAAGTGTGTTGTCTAACAGCACGTTTGACGTATCACTGAGGTCTTGAAGAACTTGTGATGATCAATGGTAGTTTTACTACCTGTGGTAAGAAATACACAGAAACCATCAACATATGATCGGTCATGAATGTTTTAGTCAATGTTATTTACACACAATGCCTACCTATGACTGACTGACTGACTTTCTACCTCACCAGGACATCACACAAGCGATAAACACCCGATGACACAATGTGTCACCATGTGGGTGAGGATCACCGTGGAGAGGTCCCAGAAACCACGTTCAGCCTTTAGGCCATATTTATGGCCACGCTATATTATGGCCCCTGGCAAAGCCAGAGTAGGGCTCCAAATAACGAATAATTTCATTCTAAAAAGGAGGAAGGAGCTATGCATACCTACAGAACAAAACTCAACAATGAATGTGGATGAAAATTCTGAAAATAGTACAAACATTTTTGTCATAATGAAAAGGCTTATATGTGGTTCATTTCAATAGACTATGTGGAATTAAATGGTGTGATTAGTTTCAAAGGAGATGAGAAATATTGACATCTTAAAAGATCTGAACATCAAGGAAGATTGGCTAATAAACAGCATCCTTTCTCGAGAGCTGAAATATTTTGGTCATATCAAGCGCCACGACGGATTTGAAAAAATTATAGCAGAAGGCATGGTACCAGGAAGGAGTGGCAGGGGCCAACCAACATGAAGATGGGCACAGGATATAAGTGACTCCTTGAGTGTGCAAGTTCATGAGGCGGGAGAACTGGCAAGAGACCGAGTTTCTTACAGGCAGACTGTGATGAGAGCGACGTTCTGCAAAGGACCTGCTACATGATGATGTTGAATGATTAGAAAGGATTATCATCACAGCACTCCAGACAGATCCATAGGTGCTCCGATCTCCCCCTCAAAAGCTCCACAAGAGTAAAATGACTGATGATGTCTTTTCTGTGGTGGTTAATGAAGCGTCTTGTCCCCTTAGTGAAATGTTTTTTTCTTGCAGCTCTAGGCTGCACCCCCATGTCCACCATGGTGTATCTTCATCAACCATATTACATTTAACAACATCGCTACAAAATAAAAATAAAAATGTTAACTGAAATGTAGGATGAAAAGAATAAAAGAGTTCAGAATCATCACTGGGGAAAAAAGGAGGGGGGGGGGGGGGGGGGAGGGGGGGGTCCATTATCTTAAATGTTTCATAACCAACTTCAGCAGTGGGTGCAAAATTCCAAAACTAATAGTAGAAGTTAAAATTATAACTTGATTTTATAAAAAGGAATATAAGAGATTATATATATATATATATATATATATATATATATATATATATATATAGGACATTTTTAAACAAGTTTGTTCATCTGAGGACATAGAACCTGGTGAGGAATGGATATGAGTACCAGCAGAGTGGGGTATATCCTGTTAAGTCTGCATAAAACTGGCTAGAGATTGCAAACAACAAGGCCTGTTGGTGGTTGAGGCAGACGTGCAAGCCCTAATTCTTGAAAAATCAGCGGATGGAGACGCAGTTATCTACATGGATGGATCTGTCATTCGGCATGTACAAAGTTCACGGGCTTTCACGGTTCTGGTTCAAGGGAAAAATGTAAAAGAAGAAAGCAGACTGTTTGCCTCAACTACAAGTAGTTTGACTATGGAGGTGATTGTGGTAACAAAAGCAATGATGTGGCTAGAGACAGCAGTTTTCCTATGTGTGTCCAAGTGATTCCATGAGCATCCTTAAGAAGATAGAGACAGGATGGATTTGAAGAAAATGGTTGTAGTCGCTGATGAAATCGTGTCTAAAAGGAATTTGTTTCATTTTTGTGCCAGGACACTCTGGGGTAAGAGGGAATGAACGAGCTGATTGGCTTGTTGTCAGGGCCATGGTAGGTACAGGAAAAGCAATGAACCAGGCCGGCATTCTCAATACTCTCAAGGAGGCAGGATGAAACAGGAGATGACCTTGAACTGGCATGACTTAAAGACTACAAGAACTTTAAGTCAAAGAGGAGTCACCAAACACGAACACTATACAGGTAGCAAAAGATGAATAGTAAACAAACATAGAACTGGTGTTATCAGTCACAACACCTAGGGGATATACTGAAGATGGGATCCGTGCGCTTATGGTCTTTTCTGATGTGCAATGAGGATAATCGTTCGATTAACTATAAACTATAACTAACTAGCTGCTGATCGTCTCCTATAGAGGCAGACAGTGAAAGATGGGATGTCACACTTTGAAAGATGCCAATGCAGCAAGCTACAGAGAGGAAATGTCTGAGAGAAAACCAGCCTCAGTGTAATAAAGTATCAATGTAGACAATAGGGCAGAGACTGTCACTCCCACATTAGACTTTACAGTCATAGCCGTGGCGGTTCTCAAAACCAGTGGTATAACTCCATGGTCTATTGGAACTGACAGCTGCCTTCTACTGGCTGATTGAGTTGACTTGAGTTGAGTCAAGAATTGACATCACAGCACTCAGGGCATTCGCATGTATGCTCCGTCCTCATCTTCTGCAGCCAGCGCAGAGTTCCAGTACTTCTTCTTCTTCTTCGCGTTCACCAGCTGTACACTCTGGCGGAAAGTTCTGGTTGTTCGTCCACACCTGGACTGCAGTCCTGCTCCAGAACCTGGGTGTTGCGTGTGCATCAGTTTTACAGATCTGATTCACTTGAATGCAGACTGTTGGTTCCTTGCCTCTCAGGCAGATGCACTCCGACTTCAAAGGAAGCTACCAATTAGTCGACTTTACGACATGCTTTTTGGTAGGCAGTGGGTCTATTCTTGTTTTCCCCCCACAATGGGGCCCCGGATCCCACACAGGGAAGTTCCAGTACTGATGGTACCGGTCCCAATCTGGTTAAATGTCCGTCTTGCCTTTCCTCTGAGTGTAACGAGCCGGCCAGACCCTCTGGTTACACCAAGGTGCCTCATTCTCTCCAGGCCATAATAATCTTCTTTCTCTACTGATTCTGTTGCTTGTTCCCAAAGGGCCTTGACCACATCTGCCTTGTCATGTATCAATTCACCACCCAGTGGTGTGGATCCAGCCAGTCGGTCTGGCTGTTAATTACACACCACACCAGCATAGCCTGGAGAAAAAATCCAAAGTATGCTCATCACCCGTGAACTTTCCAGTGAAGCTTGCACACTGTTGATTGATCCAATTATCATATAATTACTTGCTGACTGACACAATTATCACATACTTACTTGCTGACTGAGACACAGTTGTCCACTTCATTGACAACATCACAAATTGTCGAATTCTTCAGGATCGCAGACTGATAAAAAACTGTCACTTGGTTGTCTGAAAGAAATAGACCAAATATCTCTTAGAATATTAACCATGCAAGTCCATTAAATAGCAGTGTCAGAACAGTTCAGACCTGATAAGGAGAATTCACTGGGGAATTCCTCTTATTCAGATAAGAGTTCAGGCAAGAAACATTGCCGGGAATAAACAAAGAAATTTGCCCAGATAAAAAATAAACTACAGACATTCATTAACTGTTGCCTGCGCAGAAGAGAAGGAATTAAATCGTATTATAGAATCACTAATGTAGAGCTTTGGGAGAGAACTAAACAGGCTCAAGTGGACCAAGAGGTGAGGAAAAGATGCTGGCGTGGGATAGGACACACACTGAGAAAACAGGAGAACAGCATAACTAGAATGTCTTTGCATTGGAACCCACAGGGGCATAGGAATAAAGGAAGGCCAAAAAACACATGGAGAAGAGAGTTGGAGAATGAAGTTAGAAAGATGGGGAGGACATTGGGAGAGCTCCATGCAATGGCGAAGGATAGAACAACTTGGCGTGAGTTGGTTGAGGGCCTATGCTCCACTTGGGGATAGAAAGGCAGAAGAAGAAGAAGAAGAAGAAGAATTCTTCACAACATGAATTCTAACCACATCTGAGATCACCTTAACTGGTCTGCACTGTATTATAAAATAAAAACCCGACAGGGAGAAGGAAAAGAAGAAATGTTGGGCATGTTATGAGAAACAAAAATACAATTCAAAGCACAGACAAGCTTGACAGAAAAATAACTTAAAATTGTGTGAAAGTTGGCTGGAGTTATGCTTGTAAAAGTGTTGGCAATATGTTTATTTTTCCTGTGTACAGACACTTGTGGGACATGCTAGAATGAGCAACACAAATTCCGGACAAATTTACTTGGATTGTAGTAGTCGATGACTTTCACTGGCACAGGTTGGCTCTTGGCGACCAGACCATCTCTCTTAACCCTCATTTGGAGACAGATGGGGGTGGTACCGATCTGTAGGGTTGAACAGGATATGTCTCATCACACAATGACAGGATATGATGATGTTAAGTTATAATAATGACATGGTGTATTGGAATCATGTGACACAATGACATGGTGTATTGGCATCATGTGACACAATGACATGGTGTATTGGCATCATGTGACACAATGACATGGTGTAAAATGATGCCAATACACTATGTCATTGGCATGATGACCATTTGACACAATGACATGGTGTACTGGTATCATGCGACACAATGACATGGTGTATTGGCATAATGCGACACAATTACATGTGTATTGGCCTCATGTGACATAATGACATGGTGTATTGGCATCATGTGACACAATGCCATGGTGTATTGGCATCATGTGACACAATGCCATGGTGTATTTGCATCATGTGACACAATGCCATGGTGTATAGGCATCATGTGACACAATGAGAGGGTGTAAAATGATGCCAAATTACTATTTTATTGTGTACTGGCAAGATTTGACACAATGACATGGTGTATTGGTATCATGTGACACAATGACATGGTGTATTGGCATCATGTGACATAATGACATGGTGTATTGGTATCATGTGACACAATGACATGGTGTATTGGCATCATGTGACATAATGACATGGTGTATTGGCATCATGTGACATAATGCCATGGTGTATTGGCATCATGTGACATAATGCCATGGTGTATTGGCATCATGTGACATAATGCCATGGTGTATTGGCATCATGTGACATAATGACATGGTGTATTGGCATCATGTGACATAATGACATGGTGTATTGGCATCATGTGACACAATGACATGGTGTACTGGTGTCCTGTTCCTATAGGAAAGAAGATGCCAGTATTCACACACAAAAAGTGTCTCCAATTAGGTGGTCGTACTCACAACAAGATGTCTAATGAGTAGTCTTAAAAAGGACTTAGTGTGTTCATGTCATGTGAAACTATGTCATGGTGTGTTCATGTCATGTGAAACTATGTCATGGTGTGTTCATGTCATGTGAAACTATGTCAAGGTGTGTTTACGTCATTTGAAACTTTGTCATAGTGTGTTCATGTCATGTGAAACTATGTCATGGTGTGTTCATGTCATGTGAAACTATGTCATGGTGTGTTCACGTCATGTGAAACTTTGTCATAGTGTGTTCATGTCATGTGAAACTTTGTCATGGTGTGTTCACAACAAATGAAACTTTGTCATGGTGTGTTCATGTCATGTGAAACTTTGTCATGGTGTGTTCATGTCATGTGAAACTATGTCATGGTGTGTTCATGTCATGCGAAACTATGTCATGGTGTGTTCATGTCATGTGAAACTATGTCATAGTGTGTTCATGTCATGTGAAACTATGTCAAGGTGTGTTCATGTCATTTGAAACTTTGTCATGGTGTGTTCATGTCATGTGAAACTATGTCATGGTGTGTTCATGCCATTTGAAACTTTGTCATAGTGTGTTCATGTCATGTGAAACTATGTCATGGTGTGTTCATGTCATGTGAAACTATGTCATGGTGTGTTCATGTCATGTGAAACTATGTCATAGTGTGTTCATGTCATGTAAAACTATGTCATGGTGTGTTCACGTCATTTGAAACTTTGTCATAGTGTTTTTATGTCAACTGAAACTATGTCATAGTGTGTTCATGTCATGTGAAACTATGTCATGGTGTGTTCATGTCATGTGAAACTTTGTCATAGTGTGTTCATGTCAACTGAAACTATGTCATAGTGTGTTCATGTCATGTGAAACTATGTCATGGTGTGTTCATGTCATGTGAAACTATGTCAAGGTGTGTTCACGTCATTTGAAACTTTGTCATGGTGTGTTCATGTCATGTGAAACTATGTCATGGTGTGTTCATGTCATTTGAAACTTTGTCAAGGTGTGTTCACGTCATTTGAAACATCAGATACTTGTCTAATATAAGAATAGGTTGTCTTGTGTAAGACACTTGTCTAATATGAGAATATGTTGTCTAGTGTGAGTCTAATATGATAGTATGCTGTCTTCTGTCAGATATTTGTCTAGTATGGGAATATGCGGTCTTGTGTCAAATACTTGTCTAATATAAGAATATGTTGTCTAGTGTAAGACACTTGTCTAGTATGAGAATATGTTGTCTAGTGTGAGATATTTGTCTAGGTAATAAAGAAGGATAACAGAATTCTCTGTCAAATAGAATCTTATTGAATTACCTTATCAAAGTAAAAAACAACCTTCCTGTCCTCAAACTCAATTTTCTTTAAGATGTCAATTTGACGGAAGCTATCTATGTCAAATTTAAAACCGGAAGGAATCCCAAATTCTTGAATGGCCATTCCACTTGAAGCACCTTCACCTATCCATCTAGTAGAGGAGTAAAAAAAAAGTTCGTTCAGTTAGTTAGTTAGTTAGTTGGGTTATCATCATTGCACTCCGGACATGTCCATAGGTGCTCAGATCCTCCCCTCAGTATGAACCCCAACGTCCGATGGCTTATTCAGTCATTTGTCATCTTTGTTACTAAACTGATTTTGTTAATAATAATAGATCATTTCCTAAATTCACGCGTGGGTTCTGAGCTCCATTTAGGAGAAGAAAAATAGACCTACTGCATTTTATATCATATATTATTTTTATATTATATTATATATATATTATATCTTGATTTTGTACTTAATAATAAAAAGAATCATCGTTGGAGCTACAATCTTCAGGTGGCAATGGAGAGAGTGGGAAGAGGAAAAGACAAGGAAATGGAGAGAGAAGATGGCATAGAAATTAGAGAGCCGGAGCCCGGAAAGTCAGGTGAAAAACAGAGCATCTGGGATTAAAGCATATTAGAGTGGAGGTCCCAGGTAGTTAGCATCCTTTAGATATTTCTTCCAGGTCATGCCGGTGTGTTGGGAAATGAGCAGGCAGTTAGACTGGCTGGCTCTGAACCACTTGGTGGTAAACTGATGAATGACAAGCTGGATGTTGTAAGAGTCCTTTGGGAATGGATAAACAGTGTGGAGGAACAGATAGATCATTACGGTCTAAGGAGAATGGTTCTGCGAGGAGTTACCAGGGTCTGGCCGACGCTCAACACTCAGCTACCATTGGAATTGGAACTCTTCGCTTGCTGCTGAAGATGGGGACTGAGCACTCATGGGAGTGTCCTGAGTGCTGTGAGGTCGATTTTTAATTCAGCATTCAACATTCATTCAACATTCCTTTATATCAAACGTGTTACAGGAAGTGACTAATTAGAGATGTTTCCTTCACAGTCAAAGTGCATCTATCTGAGAGACAGGGGACCAACAGTCTGCATTCAAATAATTCAGGTTTGTAAAACTTATATGCACAAAACAATTTAAGTTCAGGATTGAGACCAGAGTCCAGGATTGGATGAAAAATCAGAGCTTTCCATGGAGCAAACACATAATACATTGCACAATTTATTGCCTGGCATTATTTTCCTGTATCTAGTTTGGTGCACTACCACAGTTTCATCAACATATAGTGAAACACAAAACATGGATCCTTTCCACTCATCTAGACAAATTACATGTTTCTTACTATAAAGGACATTTCGTTAACAGAAGTTCACACTTAGCCTTGTGACTACAGTTTTAGATTTATGACATACTCTTTTTGTTTGCACAATATGGGACTGTTCCTTTTCAATGTTATATGCATGTTTATAATTTTGAGGCATACTGGCACTAGCTCAAATTTTTACAGACTAAAAGGCATTCAATAGGTTATGTTAACATCTTCATGCCAGCCACCTTTACTTCCTGGATTATTTCTGATAACCATTTTATGTCAGGTTGAGCTGGAAAGTGAGCTCAACTTGAAAAAAAAAAAAAAAATCCCCACTCTAATAAAGATTCACACACAGATAACTACCTGACTACTTGGCTACCAGGCACTTAGGCTAGTCACTGTGCTTCTGCAGTTCATCATCATTGTCTTTGTCATCATCGTCATCATCATCATCTCATAACTATCATCATCATCATCATTAATGAGTGGAGAAATAGACCACATGACATATAATGGGCACAAGAGGACAATACATTAATGAATAAAAATCTCCTAAACTAAATATATTTGTCCGTAACTTCCATACTAGGTGACCTACTTGGTGCAGGTTTCAACTAGAAGATGCTTCATTGTCTCTTCAACCAATTTGACTGACAGTTCAAAGGTCACTTCCCCTATGTCAGACTCAACATTGAAGTAAACAGCAACCTGGAAATAGATACCAATTTCTATTTCAGACAAAGGAGAATGTCACAAGAATAATTACAACTTATTTGTAAAATTATTCAGATTTGAAATTAATTATGATTTAAAAAGAAAAACAGTTTCATTGCTTCCATGACAAACTGCATTAATTTTTGTGAATCTTTAACAAAATCCTCCCAGGTTATGCCATCAGCCTGTAGCAGGTCTTCTACAGAACATCACTTCCATCATAGCCCAACCTTCCTGCCTCAAGTACTTTTCTGTCCAAGGTCTTATGTTCTTGTGTCCACCTTCATGATGGTCAGCCCCTGCTGTCTTATCCAGTACAATAAATGCCATCACTGTTTTTTTCAAGCTACTGATCCAGAATTGCCCAAAATGCAAAAGCTATACTAAATTAGGTCATTTTATCAGAGAGTTGTGTAACAGTATGGCAGAATTAGAGGTACTTCTTCTTCTTCTTCTCCTCTTCCACCTTGCCTCAGCAAAGTGTTGGAGGGAGGGGGGAGATGTAACATTCCTTGATGAGCTCTGTCAAGAGCACTATTAAGACTGATATTCATTTCTATTAGGCTGTTCTTAATGCCATCACTTCATCTTTTCAGAGGTCTTCAGCTTGCTCTATACCCGTTGTAACGTTTTAGTGTGGCTCGCTGTGGCGGATAGTACCAGGGCCTTCTTGTTAGGTGTCCAAACCACTTTATTTGTTCTTCTTTGATGACCTGTAAGACTGGCTTTATTCCTAGCATTCGTCTGATTTCATGATTTCGTATTCTGTCTTTCCTTGAAACTTCTGCAGCACTTCTAGGGGCTTTCATCCCTGTTGTCACAATTTTACGTTCATTGGAGGATGTGAGTGTCCACGTTTGGCACTGATAGCATAGTGTTGGCCACAAAATAGTTCTGATAAGATTCACTCTAGTACTCCGAGGTATCTGCTTGTGTGTCAACAGAGGAGATAGTTGTCCCATTACTTGATTAGCTTTGGCACATCTCAAACTAATTTCTCTGTCCAGTTTTCCGTCAGATGTGAAAATTGCTCCCAAATACTTGAATTCCTTTGTTTGTCATTGGGTGTTGTTTATTAAATTTTATTTCTAAATTGTCTTTCTGTCTTCCTGTCACCATTGTCTCTGTCTTCGTAGTGTTTATTTTTATTTTATATTCCTCCCTTTTATTATTAATTTGATTTAGGTGGTTCTGTAGGCATTCCATACTTTCTGTTATGAGTACCTGTATTTCTGTAATATCTTCTTCGTGATTAAAGTTCATTTCCTTACATATGGTATCCTTGTATGTTATAAAAGAAGCGGCGATAGTACACAGCCCTGGCGCAGCATTTACTACAATCTTTTGCAAATATTAATGAGATGATTGCTGATTCCCTTTTTTCCCATACATTCCCACAACATATTCCTGTCAACTCTATCAAAGGCTTTTTCTTGGTCTATGAATGTCAACAAACATGTCTCATCATGTTCTATTGACCTCTCTGATAGTTGTCTCAATGTATAAATGGCATCTGTATAACTTCTGTTTCATCGAAAGCCCATCTGTTCTTCTGAAAGTTGATACTCTACCATTTTCTCAGTGTGATTGAGAAGTGATATTCCTCTGTATAACTGATAGATGAAAACGATGTAACGTTCAGATTGATTATGCAATAGTGTACACTAATGGTTCTGCTCATTGGGTAAAAGATCTGGCTGGGTGTTTTTTTTTCAACTAGAGTGAAAGGAAAGAGCATTGCAATACCAGATAGTGCTTTTTTAAATTTACAACTCAAGCATGAGGATGGATATGAAGAAAGTCATTGTAGCTCTAAAGTGGATAGCAGAAAATAGTTACCAGAGGAATGATTGTTTCTGATTCTCAGTTGGTACTGTGAAAGGTTCAAAACTAACAAATGTGGCATAAGTTGATACCAAACATCAGAACATCAACATTGTAGGGATTTACGTGTATGTACTGATCGGGACATGCAGGAGTACAGAGGAAATAAAGAGCAGATGTTTTGGCCGCAAAAGAGATTGCTACAGGAACACTTGTTCTGGACAAATGGGACAGTCTGAAGACCCTTTATGAGCAGTGCTGACAGAGGACATGAGGTTAGATGAAATAACATGTAAGAATGTGAATCTGGAATTAGGAGCATATTCGGCCGGGACAGATACCATTAGTATCGGAACTCTTCGCTGGCAGCTGAAGATGGGGACGGAGCGCTTATGGGAATGCCACGAGTGCTGTGATGTCGGTTCTTGAATCAAATCAAATCAAGACGTATGCTATATCAAACATGGAGCTAGTATCATATGTCAAATGTACCCCAAAGAGATCATGACCTTTTTTCTCTGGTAAACTTTCTTAATTTACAGTAATTCCTGTGTGAGTTCTGGGACCCCATAAAAGGGTGGGATGAGAGGGGGAGACCCACAAGAATTTACTCTAATTAAAAATAATTTAAAAAAAATACATAAAAGATGTATTAACAATTACTTTATTCTACTACTGCAAATAACAGATAACGTGAATATTTGAATAAAATTATACAAGCTCATGGACAATTAAATATTTTGCGACAAATGTTCTTTATCAGTCTGTAATTATGTCACACATTTTATCTTAGCTACAAGTTTTTTTTTTTTAAATAATAGAAAAATAAACAAACATGAAATGAGAAGAAACTTAATTTTGCTCACTTCAACCAATCCTATTCCTGATCCAGTTGCATCAATCTTGACTTTACTAGGAACGTCTTTAGTCTGAAGAAAATAAGAGAGATAATTTAACATACCAGACATAACACTTTTATGTTATTTGTTTAAATTCTCTCTCTCTAAGACTGCATCTTGAAGATTAACAGTCAGTGACCCAGAGATTACTTTCTAAATGTGAATCTAACAGAAGCAAATCCCAGAAAACATGTTCAAAGCGATATTTTGAGACACTCTAATGTCCCAAATTAACTTGCAGAAATATTAGCTGCAAAAGCCAAACAAAGGAATCAATGAAGGAAAAGTTGAGTTGAGTTGAGTTAAGAATTGACATCACAACACTCGGGGTGTTCCCATGTGTGCTCCATCCTCATCTTCAGCAGCCAGCGCAGAGTTCCAATACTGATGGTCACAATCTGGTTATATGTCCGTCTTGCCTTTCCTCAGAATGTAGTGAGCCGGCCACACCCTCTGGTTACACCCAAGTGTCTCATTCTCTCCAGGCCATAATGTTCTTGTTCCTCTACTGATTCCGTTGCTTGTTTCCAATGGGCCTTGACCCCATCTGTTTTGTCATGTATCAGTCACCACCCAGTGGTGCAGATCCAGCCAATCTGTCTGCCTGTTTATTACCCACTATGCGGACATAGCCTGGGAAAAAGATCCAAAGTATGCTCACTAACGTGACCTATCCAGTGAAGATTGCCACTCTGCTCGAAGCATCCGTCCTCACATTTCTCAGCATGCCTTCAGAGTCTGTTACAATTACGACATGTGTATGCATCTTGTTCTTTGGCCACCAGAGAGCTGAAGTTACCACCTCCACCTTCATTCTCATGCTAGATGTTGTGATGTCGTATGATAGGCTGTCTTGCACTAAAGATTTTCCACTGGCTTTCACAATGAACCCCCAAGCCCTTCTCTTTCCTCTCAACACCGAACCATCTGTATAGATAATGAGATCACCTGGGCGTGCATTGTTGTGAATCAACTGTTGGACTTCCATCTCCATAGAAAAAGTGTAAAAAAGCAACAACAAAAACTGTTCACTTTAAACTGAATCATTCTCTCCACATTGGGATGTTGTGTCTGTTCTATGGCTTTGCTTACTTGCTTGCAGAGAGCCTTCACCATGTCCACTTTATGGTAAAGTAGCTTAATCCAATGAGGAGTGGCAGCAGTGAATCTGTCAGCTGTTTTTTACCATACACACCTTAATATCTTGGGCAAAAAAATCCATGATATGTTTCTTATCTGAATTTTATCAAGCAATACAAGCCATTTTGAGCACAAGACACCAGTTTCTATTTTCTTTTTCTGTAAAGCCCAAACAATTGCAAAACAAACCTCCCAAAAACAAGAGCAGGAGATCTACATTCTGTGAAACAAATGATCAAATTTCTGTGATCTAGGAAAGTGCAGGTTAAAATTAAAGTTTCATAAAGAAACAATTTACCTCATGAGTCTGCAGCACTAGGGCATTGCTCTGGTCAATGTTGAACGTGTAGACCTCAGATGGACTCAATGTGGCTGTCACTTGCAAGTTGAAATTTTTGCTGTAAATTATCTTGGCAAACTGACTCAGTGCATGCAGAGCAACCACAGTGTCCTGAAATATTTGAATTTGCATTGTGAAATTGGAAACAGCTGAGATACATCTTAATGTCAGAATTTGTAACTTTCAGCAGTAAACTATTTAGTTGTATATCCTTTACAGAATGCTAAAAACCAACCCCATCTTTTATTGGCTGTTTGTGGGGTGTTAGCAGACAATTTTGCATTCGTTAGTTTGGCGCTGTTTTCTGAACTAGTTTTAATAACATATAATTCTTTAAAAGATCACATTATTTTGTTTCAACATTTGTTCTACATAAAAAAATGGTACACTGAGGTTGGTATGCAGAGTAACTTTCTAAAATAATTACACAGTATGTTTCTTTATTAATATCCTACCCCAGATGACGTCACAGGACAGTCCAACATTTCAGAGGGTGATGAGACTGGGTTTCCTAGCTTTCTGATGCTTTTAATGACCCTAAACATATAGAACTGGCCCTAACCCCAACCCACCTACATCTTACAAGAGAGTGCAGTCTAGGTCGCATGACTGCATGCAGCCTATCTACCACCCCCTAAAATATTAGACTGTCCTGTGACCTGTGGATTTCCCCTGTTTGGGGTAGGATATTAATAAAGCAGCCACAGTATTACTATAATGTTACTGACCCCCTGATCTGAGTCATAAAAGTAATGTATTAGTGCAGTATTTAATACACATAATATCTCGTTTAACCCTCAGGGTTATAATTGGAATATATACTGTCCTTTATGTTTTTAATGTATACTCTTTTACAATAGTCCTTGTCTATGGCTCTTTTTGTTGTTGCAAACATGCTCCGTAATTCCTGGTAAGGTGTCCGATTCCAGCTGTGGGTGATTTGGCAGCAGGCTATCTTATGTTGGTTTTAACAGTGGTATCAGAGCTGACTGTTCAGAAAGCATTGGCAAACTACTGAATGTAAAATTACCCAGTGAAATTACAAACAGCAAAAAAAAATGTTGGGGATTGGTTCTGCAACGCTCTGTAAAAGACACACAACTAACTTTTAATATTTAAAAAAATACAGCGTACTTTGTATTTTAATGTAAACCTTTTCTAAACTTATACATCATATGATATATGTATTTGTTTTTATTATTGAACATATAATCATTCATATATATATATATATATATATATATAATATTATATTATATATATATATATATATATATATATATATATATATATATATATAATCATCTATGTGTAATCAATTACATATCAGTATTGTAATTAGCGGTAGATTATTTAGAACCAACAAAAATGAAAACAAATACATGAAAGAAAAATGTGTTACTGGCAACAGACAAACTGGCAACATTCACCTGTGTTGACTGGAAGCCACCATGGGGACTTCTTTGCTTGATGAGCCACTGGACAATATTTTTAGCTTTGGCTATTTCACCACGAACAATGTAGGTCAGCAAAATGTAAGCAGTCATTTCCGTGTCAGTGGACTGCGTGGGGTTCGGGCTCTCCCATGATGAAGTTGATGTCTTGGGAGCTTGGACTTGATGCCAGAATGTCAGACCATCTGTGGAAAATTGACTAGTTCAATCAGAGTCATGTTAAGAAACAAAGTAAGGAGTTTAAGTACAGAGACAATGTATTCACTGAGGATGAAGGACTGGACATAGAAATAGAAATCAGAATACGGATGGCCAACATAATAAATTACCAAATAGTGCAACTTTTGAGGCGTTAAAATATCAACATGTACGCACAAAAGAGCAGCTAATAAATGTGTTATTCATACCAACTTTGTGCTATCAGTGTCAGACATGGACAATCCTAGAAAAAACATTAATCATAAGCTACAAAATGTGAGTTCAGATTAAATGAAATGTGGTGGTAAAAACAAGAAACAGTGTAACCAATAAAGAACTAATAACAGTAGTAGGTATAAAACTGGTAAATGATTTAACATAACTAAAAAGAATAAAAATGGCGTCCGTGGCTAAGACTTGCGAGTCCGACTTGTAATTCCAACATACCGCGATCGAAACCCACTGCTGGCTGCGTGGATTTTTAACATGGTATGGGGCGTCGCAGGTCGACCCAGCCTAAAATGGGTACCAGGATGTATGTCCTGGGGAAGTAAAGACAGCCGGTGTAATGCTGACCACATTACCCACCTAGTGCCGATTGGTCTGTAAAAATATGGGTGCTCTTCCCAAATGCCCGATGTGCCTAAGGTGTAAAAAGGGATCTTTACTTACTTACTTAAAAATGAATTAAATGGTTTGGTCAATTGGCCACAGTGGAACAATATCAGCCAGCAGCGAACGTGTACTACCCAAGAACAGCAGGCTACAAGACAAGAGGCTGACCAAGAAAGAGTTGGGTGGGAAGAGTGAAAGAGACACTACAGAGAAGCAATATGACGTTTACACAAGCTAGGCAACTAGCCAAATACAGGAAACTACATCTAACTCCTCTCTGCAACATTTTATGGCATTCACAGTTGGACAAAAGGAGAGAAAAGAAGAACAATCATAGTCAATAAAAGATGTTTCTCTGGATTATCTCCTGAAAGGCAGCCACAATGGTGTAGAAGCTAAAAGCTCACCTGCTGGCCACAAAGATCTTTTTTTTTTTTTAATGGAACCTTGGCTTCGAGGTCAACGCAGCCTTAAATGGGAACTGGTAATGTCCTGGAAAGTAAAGGCTGCTGGTCAGAGGACAACACTTCACCCCCCATAAATGGTCTTTTAAAAATGTCTAGCACAGTGGTTGTCAACCTGGCGTGCCACAGGGAGGTTGTGTGGGAAAAGAGGGGGGTAAAGTACAGAAAAAGTAACGATCCCTTTCCACGCCTTTAGGCGTATCGGGCATATGGGAAGAGCGCCCATATTTTTACAGACCATCAGCACTCGGTGGGTTATGTGGTCAGCATTACACCGGCTGTCTTTACTTTCCCAGGACAGCCCATCCTGGTACCCATTTGAGGCTGGGTCGACCTGCGACGCCCCATACCATGATAAAAATCCACGCAGCCCGCAGTGGATTTCGATCGCGGTACGTTGGATTACGAGTCGGACTCGCAACACCTTAGCCACGGACAGCGCAGGGGGGGGGGGGGGGGGGGGTTTGTAGTTTAAAAGAAAAAAAAGGGAGCGGTGGGCGTCAGGCAAATTTGAAACTGAGTGCATTTTTTCTTGTAATAATCTGTTATAATAACATTTTTATCATATTAATTGTAAAAAAAAACAAAAAATTTAACAGCCATAAAAACAAAAAATCACTGTCAGACTGATGTGGAAAGTGACCTCCCCAGTATCTTGTCCAACATCAGACCAAAAATAAGCAGATATTATCAAAACAAAACAGCGTCAGTCACACATTGATATTAGTACACTAAATTGCCAGATTTTGGTAAATGTTTCTTTTGTTTTATTCAACAGTGATTTATGTGGATGTTTTTCTCCAAGGTCTTGTTAATAGTTCTGGAGATTTTTCTTTCTTCCTCCTCTTTTTAATCACATTAACACATCTAGGTGGTTGGGTCATGCCATATATTCAGGGGTGGGGATCACATCTGAAAAAGACTTTCATTACACACAAAAGAACTATGAAATCATCCTCAGTTAAAGCCCAGAATTTATGGAATTTAGATGTAGTACATACAAGGTGAGTTTAGGTGTAGTAAATACAAGGTGAGTTTTGATGTAGTACATACAAGGTGAGTTTAGATGTAGTACATACAAGGTGAGCTTTGATGTAGTACATACAAGGTGAGTTTAGATGTAGTACATACAAGGTGAGTTTATCTGTAGTACATACAAGGTGAGTTTAGATGTAGTACATACAAGGTGAGTTTAGATGCAGTACATACAAGGTGAGTGAGTTTAGATGCAGTACATACAAGGTGAGTTTAGATGCAGTACATACAAGGTGAGTTTAGATGCAGGGGATAAAACCTTTATGGGAATGTCATGAGTGCTGTGATGTCAGTTCTCAACTAAGCTCACTTTAGCTCAGCTTAGGAAAAAAGCCCTCTTGGCTTTCTCAGGCTGAAGAATAGTCACACGATGGAAAAGGTTGGGGTTTCACCAGGTAATAACCTCACACACAAAAAAAGCACTGGATGCACAAACTTTCCGTCAGCAACCTCCATTGTGCAGACAGCACAAAAAAAAAAAACCAAACCAAAAAAAAAAAAAAACCCCACAATATTTAGCAATAGAATCAAATCAAACCTTTCACTGTTGCTTTGGCCTCAAGTTTAGTGAGCACAGCTTTTGTCTGGCTACTCTTGGCCAGCTCAAAAGCATAAGATGCCAAAGCTAAAGTGTAGAGGTCATCTGTGGTAGCTATCTGAGCTTCTGCATAGGACAGAGCTTTAGCAATAACCTGGTCAGCATTGGATCCAGCAGCATTCTGGAAAGGAATTTATTTTTATGTGACAATATTTGTATGAGAACACTGTTCTTACAATGGTAAGATTTGTGTTAGAGGATGTAAAATACCAAAAATCTAATATTTGTACCACACTAATTCTCCTTTAGAGAGAGAAATTAGATAGAATTTGTATCAGAGGATATCTCATTCTGACAGAGAACATTAAATAGAATTTGTATCAGAGGATATCTCATTCTGACAGAGAACATTAGATGGTATTTGTATCAGAGGATATCTCATTCTGACAGAGAACATTAGATGGTATTTGTATCAGAGGATATCTCATTCTGACAGAGAACATTAAATGGTATTTGTATCAGAAGATATCTTATTCTGACAGAGAAAATCATATGATATGTGTATCAGAGGATATCTCATTCTGACAGAGAAAATCTGGTGATATGTGTATCAGAGGATATCTCATTCTGACAGAGAACATTAGATGGTATTTGTATCAGAGGATATCTCATTCTGACAGAGAACATTAGATGGTATTTGTATCAGAGGATATCTCATTCTGACAGCGAACATCAGATGGTATTTGTATCAGAAGATATCTTATTCTGACAGAGAAAATCATATGATATGTGTATCAGAGGATATCTCATTCTGACAGAGAAAATCTAGTGGTATGTATATCAGAGGATATCTCATTCTAAGAACATCAGATGGTATTTGTATTTGAGGATATAACATTCTGACACAGAGCATTAGATGGTATTTGTATTAGAGGATATCACATTCTGACACAAAACATTAGATGGTATTTGTATCAGAGGATATCACATTCTGACACAAAACATTAAATGGTATTTGTATCAGAGGATATCACATTCTGACACAGAACATTAGATTCTATTTGTATCAGAGCATATCACATTCTGACACAGAACATTAGATGGTATTTGTATCAGAGCATATCACATTCTGACACAGAACATTAGATGGTATTTGTATCAGAGCATATCACATTCTGACACAGAACATTAGATGGTATTTGTATCAGAGCATATCACATTCTGACACAGAACATTAGATGGTATTTGTATCAGAGCATATCACATTCTAACACAGAACATTAGATGGTATTTGTATCATTCTGACAGAGAACATTATACCCATGAGTACATCTTTGTTCTCCAGTAAAAAAACAAAAACAATGACAATGATGACATAGAACAACAGCAAATACCCACCAGCCTGTCTTTGTTCTCCAGCAGGGTTATCATGACATACAAGGTCAAGGCTATGCCTCCAGCAGCATTTCCCTGTAAACAAGTACATGGTAGTCAATCAGTGAATGCTTGTGTTTCCATGAAGATATTATTTCTTCATTTTCTTTTACAGAAGCTATGTGATTGTTTTTTTCTTTTTTAAATCTCAAAGAGTCAGCTGGAGAAATTTTTTTTTAAAGAGGAAAAGGGGGGGTTCATAAAATATGTCTCCTTATTTAAAATAAACACGATTATTTCATTATTTTCTTTTAATGAACCTAGGTCTGGATTGGTACCTTTTCAGCGTTCCAGACGATGGTGTTATATTGCGCTATGAGGAGGCATGGGACTCACAGCCCATGGTGATGGTGAGTGTGACTAGCAAGACTCGCCCACATTAAGAAAAATCTTCCACAATTATAGCTTGGGATTTTAGGACTGTTGTTGATAACATTTGTGTTTAGTGTGTTTCTGCTCAGATGCTCAGCTCATCCTCCTTTCTGCAATAATTTCTTCCTTAATTATCATTCCTTTTCTTATGTCTCCCTCGCCCCCACACACAACATGGTCCATGGCATTTTGTTCCCCCCTTTTGAGTCCACCTCAATACCTGCATCATTCATGTTCTGTTCGCAAACATCTTTACACTGTAGTAGAGGTCGGCCTTGACATCCAGTCTAAAATGGGTACCAGGTAATGTCATGGGAAGCAAAGGTGGCCAGCATAACACCAGTCACATCACCCGCCAAGTGCTAATTGGTTTATTAAAAAAAAAAAATCAGAATCCATTATGGCATGCCACATACATAAATGGAGTTACAAATGATCCATTATCTGTTTCCTTTATAATGAATAAGCTTTTCTTGTTTTTCTCCTTAAGGAATTTTTCCTTATTTCCGACAAGAAGATCTGATCTCAAAAAGTGGTTATGGTAGTCGAGAGTGAGCTGCGTACAGCCTGGATGGGTGACCATATGTAACTTCAGTAATGAAAGAGCTCCTAAACTTTGATATCCAAGGTCAAATTACATGCACTTTTGTGGGGACCCAAAAAAAAAACCACTGCATTCCTAACAAGCATGTAGTAAGAATCGACTAATTAGGAGTTTCCTTCGAAGTCGAAGTGCATCTGCCTGACAGGCAAGGAACCAACAGCCTGCATATAGCTAAGCAAGACCTGCAAAATGGGAGTGCACAAAAAGTCAAGTTCTGGAACAAGAATTAAGTTAAAAAGTGGACGAATAACCAGAGTTTTCCACTGGAGTTTACATCTGATGAAATGTGAGGAAGAAGAAGAAGAAGATAATACCTGCATGCTTGTGTGGATGACGACTCCTGGCTCTGGGAAGCTGCCATCACTGTTCTGTTTGGCAATGATCCATCGAAGTGAAGTGATCATAACTTGTTCATCAATGTAAATGTGGGGCTTTGCCTGGTTGAAGACTCTCATCACAAAGGCAGTCAGCCTGGAAACAAAATGTTGCATTTAGACTCACTTATGCCATAAATATCAAAGTAACAATTAGACTGTGTTGATTATGGCAGCATGTTTGTGTCAGTTTTCATCATATTTATTTTCTGCCTACACCCCCCTCCCTCCCCCACCCCACAAGAATTGCAAAAGGATTTTGATTAAATGTGTTATACAGGGAGGGGAGAAAAAGAAGCCTTTTTTCATCAAGACTTAGCTGTTTAATAAAGTAGGATACAGATCAAGTGTAGGAGTGTCCTGGAAATAGAGCAAGTGTTGGAACGTCCTGAAGACAGAGCAAGTGTGGGAATGTCCTGGAGATGGAGCAGGTGTGGGAATGTCCTGGAGACGGAGCAGGTGTGGGAACATCCTGGAGATGGAGCAGGTGTGGGAATGTCCTGGAGATGGAGCAGGTGTAGGAATGTCCTGGAGACAGAGCAAGTGTGGGAATGTCCTGGAGACAGAGCAAGTGTGGGAATGTCCTGGAGACAGAGCAGGTGTGGGAATGTCCTGGAGACAGAGCAGGTGTGGGAATGTCCTGGAGACAGAGCAGGTGTGGAATGTCCTGGAGACAGAGCAAGTGTGGGAATGTCCTAGAGACAGAGCAGGTGTGGGAATGTCCCGGAGACAGAGCAGGTGTGGGAATGTCCTAGAGACGGAACAGGTGTGGAATGTCCTGGAGATGGAGCAGGTGTGGGAATGTCCTAGAGACAGAGCAGATGTGGGAATGTCCTAGAGACAGAGCAGGTGTGGGAATATCCTGGAGATGGAGCAGGTGTAGGAATGTCCTGGAGACAGAGCAAGTGTGGGAATGTCCTAGAGACAGAGCAAGTGTGCGAATGTCCTAGAGACAGAGCAGGTGTGGGAACGTCCTGGAGATGGAGCAGGTGTGGGAATGTCCTAGAGACAGAGCAAGTGTGCGAATGTCCTAGAGACAGAGCAGGTGTGGGAACGTCCTGGAGATGGAGCAGGTGTGGGAATGTCCTAGAGACAGAGCAAGTGTGCGAATGTCCTAGAGACAGAGCAGGTGTGGGAACGTCCTGGAGATGGAGCAGGTGTGGGAATGTCCTAGAGACAGAGCAAGTGTGCGAATGTCCTGGAGACAGAGCAGGTGTGGGAATGTCCTGGAGACAGAGCAGGTGTGGGAATGTCCTGGAGACAGAGCAGGTGTGGGAATGTCCTGGAGACAGAGCAAGTGTGCGAATGTCCTAGAGACAGAGCAGGTGTGGAATGTCCTGGAGATGGAGCAGGTGTGGGAACGTCCTGGAGATGGAGCAGGTGTGGGAATGTCCTAGATACAGAGCAGGTGTGGGAATGACCTGCATTTAATGCTGCCAATTCTTGATTAATTAATTCAGTCATCCATCATCTACATCTTCTTTGATTATTCGTGAAGGAAGCAGATGATCTGGCAAACACATGAACATAAAACAGTTTTACGGATACTAGTACTGAAGAGATGTAGAGTTAGAATAGTAAGTAAATTAGGCAAAACTGTTATAAACTACAGAAATTAGTTCCCCTTTTAGTAATGTTCTCTTGTCCAACACACAAGTCTTGATCATCCATTCTGATAAACCTTACACTTCATTTTGACATACTTTTAACTCTTTGAGTCCCAAGGAACGCGCCATACGTTCATAGATTCCTACCTAGAAGCCCAATGAACGCAAGATGCGCCGATTTTACGTCTTTCTTGACTACCCTGGGGCCTGTGATGCTAAACCCCCTGGGACTCAAAGAGCTAATATTAATATTTCCTATATGGTTTCTGGGACTCAGTTTTGGAGAAAACAAAGAATAGGACCCCTCCCCCCCTCCCCCCCCCCCCCCCCCCCAATCCTCTTTCCCCTACACAAAAGAAAAAAAATAAGCATGTTGCAAAAGTTGAGTAATTAGGATTATACTGCAGTCATTTTTTTGACTGAAGGTGTAGATATCACATTTTAGCTTTAACCACAATGTGCCAACCACCTTTCACAGGCTGAATGCAGAGGAAGAAGAAGAAGAGGAAGAAGAAGAAGAAGAGGAAGAAGAAGAAGAAGAAGAAGAAGAAAAAGAAGAAGAAGAAGAAGAAGAAGAAGAAGAAGAAGAAGAAGAAGAAGAAGAAGAAGAAGAAGAAGAAGAAGAAGAAGAAGAAGAAGAAGAAGAAGAAAAAGAAACTTGTATCTTGATATACTGTAACTTTTCCTCCTCACATCAGAGAAGAGCTCTACCCACCGCCAGTCATGCTAGACTGTACTTACCACATGCTTCCAGACTTGTCACTCTCTCCAAAAGCACTGAATGAACCATCCTTGTGTTTGTATGTCAGCTCTCTCTGGTAACCTGGACACAGAATTACAAATAGTCTTATTTTCTACCTGTCTGAGGATGTCTGTGTATCAGTGTCAAGTCTCACTGTCTGTCTGTCTGAGATAATACCATTGTGAGAATTTTATTTTGAGAGTCTGTCTGGGAATGTTCTTATGACAGTTTGCCTGGGAATGTTCTTTGTATAAATGAAAGTTGTCTGTACCAGTGGGTCATTTAAAGTAAATCTGTATAATTAGACGTGTGAAAGTAGATGTGTAAAAAACAATCATTTAAAGTGTATTTCTGAAGTAATTTTCTTAAAGATGGAGAGCAATTGGGTATTATTTGTTTTCTTTCCATCTTGTTCTTGGTCTACCTCGTGATCTTCGTCCATCTCTCTTCTGGTGAAAATATGTGGGTGACTGCAGTCAAGCTAAATTCAAGAAATTCCAGTGAAATTTGACTAAAAATCTTAATCAAATTGGGAAGCAGAAAAAGGTGCACAAAACAACACAAACAATGTAATGTTATATCTTTTCTGATCGGTTCTGCAACCCTTTACAGTCATCTTGTTTCCATGGTTACTAATTTTATTTTCTGGATTGAGAAATGAAAATAAAACAAAAAACAAGAAAGGACAAGATATGATAAGAACGGCATACACACAAATACAAAAGATAATACAGGTAGAATATATCATAGTTGATACCTGATTCCATGTAGTTAAGAGCCTTTGATTTAATGTCAGCAGTCAACTGGTTGACGGCCGTCAGATAGTCAGTGATGTAGACATCTGGAGCCATTGACAGCATAGTCTGCTCTCCACAACCCATAGGCATCTGCAGCAGAGAGTCCAGGCCGCCGATGGTAGGTCCCATCAAGTCACCTGACATCGAGGACAACAAGTGGAGACTAGTACGTCAGAGTAAACTCATATACAGTGAATTCTGAATGGCTTGAGGGTTTGTGTCCAACATTTCCAGCAACATTTGGAATTTAGTAGTGACAAGAGGGTTTAAATTAAACCAACATTTCAACTCATTATTTCCTACAGGGTAAAGGCTCAAGAGACACAAACCTAGTTTAAGTGTGCAATAATAATACTTATTATGTGATGAATGGCAAAAATAATAATAATAATAATATATTTGAAAGAATGTGAATGTGTAAGAGATACTTATAAGGATAACGTTTACCGATGGTTAGGGAGACCTCAAAGGGGTGTATTCCTTGTTTAGGTGCACAGTAATAATAATAATTATTGTTACCATGTACTAAATGGCAAATAAATATAATAATATATTTAAAGTAATAAGAAATATATAAACAGATACTTGAAGAGAGAACATCTATAGATATTGGTATGGGAAGGTGGGGAAGAAGGGAGGGGGTGTGATCAGTACCTTACACATTATCAAGGCTGGGAGGGGAGAGGGGGGTTGTGATCAGTACCTTACACATTATCAAGGCTGGGAGGGGAGGGGGGGTGTGATCAGTACCTTACACATTATCAAGGCTGGGAGGGGAGGGGGGGGTTGTGATCAATACCTTACACATTATCAAGGCTGGGGGGGGGGGGTGATCAGTACCTTACACATTATCAAGGCTGGGAGAGGGGAGGGGGGGGGGGTGTGATCAGTACCTTACACATTATCAAGGCTGGGAGAGGGGAGGGGGGGGGGTGTGATCAGTACCTTACACATTATCAAGGTGGGGGGGGGAGGGGGGGGGTGTGATCAGTACCTTACACATTATCAAGGTGGGGGGGGGGGTGTGATCAGTACCTTACACATTATCAAGGCTGGGGGGGTTGTGATCAGTACCTTACACATTATCAAGGCTGGGGGGGGTGTGATCAGTACCTTACACATTATCAAGGCTGGGGGGGTTGTGATCAGTACCTTACACATTATCAAGGCTGGGGGGGGGGAGGGGGGGTGTGATCAGTACCTTACACATTATCAAGGCTGGGGGGGGGGAGGGGGGGGGTGTGATCAGTACCTTACACATTATCAAGGTGGGGGGGGGGGGTGTGATCAGTACCTTACACATTATCAAGGCTGGGAGGGGGGGGGGGGTGTGATCAGTACCTTACACATTATCAAGGCTGGGGGGGGGGGTGTGATCAGTACCTTACACATTATCAAGGCTGGGGGGGGGGGGGGGTGTGATCAGTACCTTACACATTATCAAGGCTGGGGGGGGGGTGTGATCAGTACCTTACACATTATCAAGGCTGGGGGGGGGGGGTGTGATCAGTACCTTACACATTATCAAGGCTGGGGGGGGGGTGTGATCAGTACCTTACACATTATCAAGGCTGGGGGGGGGTGTGATCAGTACCTTACACATTATCAAGGCTGGTGTGGGGGGAGGGGGGTGATCAGCACCCTATACATTATTAAGGTTAGGGGGGAGGGCAATCAGCACCTTGCACAGTATCAAGGCTGGGGGGGGGGGAAGGGTGGGACTCAGCCTTCATGAAAATTACTGGGGAGGAGGTTGCTCAAGTGACTGAGTCCCTAAGTTCTGGGGCTTATGCACAGTATATTGTTTGAGACAAAGAATTAAATCTGACACTAGTATGGATTTCCAAAGCACAGGAAGTCAGAAATGCTACCAGCTAGGCTTTCACTATATTTTCTTTATCTTGCAGCGTTTGGCGTGATCTGAAGTCAAATACTACAACAAACACCTTTAACTTTGTCCCGAGACATGTATGTGTTGATGCTAGAATAGGTTAGCTAGTTCTGTCATTAGTGCAGATGGCCAACAAATGGATCAGATTAACATTATTCATACCGGATGACCAGAGGTATTTAGAAGCAGTGTCTACATTGTTACTTAGAATGAGAGATTTGAGAGTAAAGATAGGCACAACCAGGCATGAGAGGTACACCAGATGTGTAAGAGATCTTCTCCCCTTCTCTTCTTCCTCCTCCTCTTCCTCTTAATTAGCTCCTCTTCACCTCCTCTTTTTCGTCATCCTCCTCCTCATCTTCTTCTTCTTCTTTTTCTTCTTCTTCTTCTTCTTCTTCTTCTTCTCCTCCTTTTTCTTTTTCTTCTTCTTCTTCTTCTTCTTTTTCTTCTTATTATTCTTCTTCTTCTTCTTTTGCATTCACCTTTGTAAGGCAGCCGGCTTGTTGGGCATTGGTTTACAGATAGGTTACAGTTTCTTTACCTTTTTTGTCCCAATATGATTTCAGCAAAATGCCCAAGTAGTCATCTTTTATGACAAGCTTGTTAGCGAGCAGTGAGCCTGAGCCTATTCCTTTTTTTCTAAACTTAGAAATTGGACATGGAACCCACACAGGATTGTAACTCGAACAGTAATTAATATTCACAAACAGCAAACTAGTTTCATCCCTCTCTTCAACAATGTCCAGAAAAACCATAACAAAAAGTTGATGGAAATGTCTAGGTTGTGTGTCGAATGCTGTATGATGGGGCTTTAAAGTTGATGGAAATGTCTAGGTTGTATGTTGAATGCTGTATGATGGGGCTTTAAAGTTGATGGAAATGTCTAGGTTGTGTGTTGAATGCTGTATGATGGGGCTTTAAAGTTGATGGAAATGTCTAGGTTGTATGTTGAATGCTGTATGATGGGGCTTTAAAGTTGATGGAAATGTCTAGGTTCTATGTTGAATGCTGTATGATGGGGCTTTAAAGTGGATGGAAATGTCTAGGTTGTATGTTGAATGCTGTATGAAGGGGCTTTAAAGTGGATGGAATGTCTAGGTTGTGTGTTAAATGCTGTATGATGGGGCTTTAAAGTGGATGGAAATGTCTAGGTTGTGTGTCGAATGCTGTATGATGGGGCTTTAAAGTGGATGGAAATGTCTAGGTTGTGTGTCGAATGCTGTATGATGGGGCTTTAAAGTGGATGGAAATGTCTAGGTTGTATGTTGAATGCTGTATGAAGGGGCTTTAAAGTGGATGGAATGTCTAGGTTGTGTGTTAAATGCTGTATGATGGGGCTTTAAAGTTGATGGAAATGTCTAGGTTGTGTGTCGAATGCTGTATGATGGGGCTTTAAAGTGGATGGAAATGTCTAGGTTGTTTGTTGAATGCTGTATGATGGGGCTTTAAAGTTGATGGAAATGTCTAGGTTGTATGTTGAATGCTGTATGATGGGGCTTTAAAGTTGATGGAAATGTCTAGGTTGTGTGTTGAATGCTGTATGATGGGGCTTTAAAGTTGATGGAAATGTCTAGGTTGTATGTTGAATGCTGTATGATGGGGCTTTAAAGTTGATGGAAATGTCTAGGTTCTATGTTGAATGCTGTATGATGGGGCTTTAAAGTGGATGGAAATGTCTAGGTTGTATGTTGAATGCTGTATGAAGGGGCTTTAAAGTGGATGGAATGTCTAGGTTGTGTGTTAAATGCTGTATGATGGGGCTTTAAAGTGGATGGAAATGTCTAGGTTGTGTGTCGAATGCTGTATGATGGGGCTTTAAAGTGGATGGAAATGTCTAGGTTGTGTGTCGAATGCTGTATGATGGGGCTTTAAAGTTGATGGAAATGTCTAGGTTGTATGTTGAATGCTGTATGATGGGGCTTTAAAGTTGATCGAAATGTCTAGGTTGTATGTTGAATGCTATATGAAGGGGCTTTAAAGTTGATGGAAATGTCTAGGTTGTGTGTTGGATGCTGTATGATGGGGCTTTAAAGTGGATGGAAATGTCTAGGTTGTATGTTGGATGCTGTATGAAGGGGCTTTAAAGTGGATGGAATGTCTAGGTTGTGTGTTAAATGCTGTATGAAGGGGCTTTAAAGTGGATGGAAATGTCTAGGTTGTATGTTGGATGCTGTATGAAGGGGCTTTAAAGTGGATAGGAATGTCTAGGTTGTGTCTTGAATGCTGTATGAAGGGGCTTTGAAGGAAAACATTAAAAATCTACAAGAAATTACATGCTACTGTCTTGAAACCTGTCAATATTTTTGTTATGGATGTCAAGAGTGTTAAGCTCATATCTTCTTCGTCTTCTTCTTTCTTCACCGGCTGTATGTTCTAGCGAAATGGCCTGGTTGTTCATCCACTTGGACTACTGGCTTTGTGCCAGAGCCTGAGTTTTACATGTACACCTGTTCTTCTGGCTTATTTTTGTGCAGTTGGTTATTCCTTGCCACTCAGGCAGATGCACTCTGACTTTGAAGCAAGCCCCAATTAGCTGACTTCTACGACATGCTTGTTGGGGAGGCAGTGGGTCTGTTTTTGTTTCACCCTCAATGGGGTCCCAGAACCCACATGGGGAAAGCTCATTTAAGACAATACATACAAGAACAGGATTAAAATGAACACTTACCAACAGCAGAAATTCTCACACGCTGTGACTCCTTGACAACATTTGTAGGTAAGGACAGATTCACGGTTTGGCTGAATGAGTTCTTTCCCTCGGTGAGGTCAATCAACACGGCGATATTGTAATCTTTGGAGACGCCCTCAGCCTGTTGAGGTAACATGTTTGCATTGAGTCATCAAATTTCAACATTTGTTTATCAGTGTCTTGTAAATGATCACAACTGCCAGATATCACACAGTATATAATCTATACCAGTGTTTCCCATTATTTTCTTAATTACGGTGCCTTTTTCAGTTAAAATTGTTCCAAGGCGCTCTAACCTAAGTAAAAGTATGACTATTTGTATGTAGGAGACAAACAAAAATAAAACTTGTGTATCTTTGAATATTTCGTGCTCCCTATGAAGAGGTCGTGGTTCCCTGAGGGGCCACAGTGCACAGTTTGAGAATCATTGATCTATACACTTCTTCTTCTTAGCTTTCACTGGCTGTAAACTCAGATGGAAAATACTGGTTGTTCATCCACTTCTGGACTTTGGATAATCTACACACAATGTCAACAGTATATCAGTTCAACATAATATTTGTCCGTTTTCCTTTCTTCATCCCCTGGCTGAGCACAGGCCCTGAAGTTATCCTGTCCTTTGCTATTGTATACAGCCTACCCGACGCCCCTTCCATCCTTTTAACTTCAGCCTTATAAAGCCCGTCCATGCCATCTTCAAGGTCAAGATAGGAGACATTAAAACCAACTTCTTTTGGAAACAATCAGAAGAGGCATTTTGGGGAGGCTGCTGCATCGGAGGAATGTGCAAGTACGGGAATGCCAGATATGATGTGATGTTGATTGTGATAACAGAACATGTTTTTAATTTCATTCTCTAGCTCCATTTTCCAGGTGTTTTTTGACACAACAGTTCTAACATTGCAGATGCCAATTATAGAGATTTTCCAGAGTGAAAGGAGGAGTAATATTTACAGCATATCACCATCATCATGTACCATGCTTTGGAAATCATAGATTGTCATAGTTACCATCTCAAAAGATCACAAGAAGCACAAGTCAGATCCATGTTTCTGTCCCTTTGTTTGTTTTTCCATCAAGTTAGCCAAATGTCACTAAGTTTTCACATTTATTTCTCTTCATACCATTATCATGTTCGATAAGCTAAGGCAGTCATGTTTTGCCATCTCACACAATCACCAGAATCATGGATAAGGTCAGTTTCTTCTTTTCCCCATTGATATGGCTAAGCCATCTAGGTTTATATCTCTTTGTCTTTCCCTTGCTCTTTTTCTGTCAATCTTGCCAGTTGTCACAATGTTCTAGATTCCATTCCTTCCTGTAACATGTAAGAAAAAGAAAATACCTACTGTCTATGTCTAACTCTTCTGATCAGTTTATGATTTCATCTGTTTTGAGGCCTGCTTTATTTGCTTTTCTTTCATTCCATGAAATTCTTTGCGTTTTTCTCGAAACCACTGCGAGTAAATGTTTTTCAGCCTGTCTGCTTACTGTCCATGCTACACATGCGTATAACAACACAGGTTCTACAAAGCACTTTAAACTTTTTTTTTCTTACTGTAATGAACATCTTTTTACTGTCATCTTCTGCATCTCGCAAAAGGCTAGAATATCTCCTCATAACACCTCCAGAAATTCTGATTTGTCAGTTTACTGATTTAAGATTCGTAGTAAGAATACACAGAAATAATAGACAACTGGAAGATCTGGCTTTTGCAAATGATGTTGTTCTGTTGAGTAAAAATAACAAAGACATGCAAAGAAAAACAGACGATTTGCATCTACAGCATCAAAAATAGGACTAGAGATAAATTATGCAACAACAAATCATGTAGATGTCATGCTAGAGAAAACAAAAAAAATAACCAGTAAAAATAACATTTCACCTATTTGGATAGATAACAAATTTGACTCTCAAGGAGATATAACAAAACAGAAACATCACAATAAGACAGTCTCAAAGTGAACAAAATGATATACCTTGACCAGTAACTGTCTTCTGATTGCATCTGCAGCTTTTGTTGACCGAGCTTTCACTTCAATGTCAATTTTTCCAAGTTCCAATGGAGTAATTGGGAAAAAGACAGACTTGGCATCACCTGCTCTTACCTGAGAACATTAAATGATGACTGTGATCAAAAAATAATTCCATCTAATAATGTGAGTTTGTGAGTAATTATTTGACCAATATAATATTACAAGGTGTGAATATGTGAGTAATTATTTGATCAATATAATATTACAAGGTGTGAATTTGTGAGTTATTATTTGACCACAGTAATTACACAGTGTGAATTTGTAAATAATTATTTAACCACTTTAATATTACATTGCGTGAATCTGTCAGTGATTATTTTACCATCAATATGGTTTCATATTTTCTATTTGTAACTAATTTTAAAGTGTAAAATTTTGTGAATTTTGTAAATTTGTAAATGATTTTTTGAGCACTACTGAATCAAATTTAGTGTCATCAACAAGTTAATCAAGAAGAAAGAAACCAACCTACCAAAACATTTTGAACTATTTCTTTCTGTGAAGTTTGTTCCTGTCCTTTAGCATCAATCAAGATGTTGGAGAAGCTTTTTGATAGAGCAAGAGTTACCTGCACCTGAATGACGAAAATGTTTACAGTGATAATTAGGTTATTTGAGTTTTCACAAAGCAAACAAGCAAAAAAAGGCTCTCACACAGAAATGACATATGCTCTGAGAGCTTAAAGAGGCTCTCACACAGAAATGACATATGCTCTGAAAGCTTAAAGAGGCTCTCACACAGAAATGACACATGCTCTGAGAGCTTAACCCTTTGAGTCCCAAGAAACGCACATTACATTCATAGGTTCCAACCGAAAAGCCCAATAAACGCAAGATGCGCCAATTTTACATCTCTCTTGACTACCCCTTGGGCCTCTGATGCTAAACCCCATGGGACTCAAAGAGTTAAAGAGGCTCTCACACAGAAATGACATACACTCTGAGAGCTTAAAGAGGCTCTCACACAGAAATAGCATATGCTCTGAGAGCTTAAAGAGGTTCTCACACAGAAATAACTTATGTTCTGAGAGCTTAAAGAGGCTCTCACACAGAAATGACATATGCTCTAAGAGTGTAAAGAGGCTCTCACATAGAAATGACATATGCTCTGAGAGCTTAAAGAGGCTCTCACACAGAAATGGCATATGCTCTGAGAGCTTAAAGAGGTTCTCACACAGAAATGGCATATGCTCTGAGAGCTTAAAGAGGTTCTCACACAGAAATAACTTATGTTCTGAGAGCTTAAAGAGGCTCTCACACAGAAATGACATATGCTCTAAGAGTGTAAAGAGGCTCTCACACAGAAATGACATATGCTCTGAGAGCTTAAAGAGGCTCTCACACAGAAATGGCATATGCTCTGAGAGCTTAAAGAGGCTTTCAAACAGAAATGACATATGCTCTGAGAACTCAAAGAGGCTCTAACACAGAAATGACACATGCTCTGAGAGCTTAAAGAGGCTCTCATACAGAAATGACAAATGCTCTAAGAGCCTAAAGAGACTCTTACACAGAAATGACATATGCCCTGAGAACTTAAAGAGCTGACAAATGCTCATACAAGTTAGCTAAATCATAATCATCATCATCAATTTTCCCTTTTGCTGTTAAGTGTCATGAAGAGGAACAGTTTGCGATCCATTGCTTGATGGGTGGCAATGGCTTCAGTCATGGTGTGTTGATGGAGAAAGTCTTTAACATCGTCAGTCTATACCTTCTAGGGAAGCCTCTTGCACTCACGTTAGACTTTGTTTTTGTGTGTTAGTGCCTGTATTGGTAGTAATTGTGGCTGCATTATAGCCAGATAATCCAACCATCTGATCTTCCATTTCCCAATGAATTTGGTTTAAAGTGTTGCTCCCACAGTCTGTCTGTGTATCATTTGTAAAAATGTCTTGGTTGAGCTGGCAGCTTTCCTTAGCAGTGAGCTGAAGGGTCAACAGTCAAGCACCAAGGCAACTGACAACCTGTGTCACTGACCACAAAATAGAACAAATATCAATAATCAAGCAAGTAACCTTAACCTTTCTCACTCACATGCTGATACACAAACACAGTCACCTGGCAGTGTATTCATAGTGAACTTGTGTGCAATGATTTTAATCATTATGCTAAAAGGTAAGACTGCAAGTGATTTTTGTGATCACAAGAGTTTTGTATTTTGTAAACATGTGCAGCCTATCAGTTGTTCCAAACACTTACTCACTCAGTCATGCACAATAATAAGAGAGAGCTATAAGAAATATAATGAACCCAGAGCAAGAGAAAGGCCACACAAAATATGGAACAATAGCATCAACTCTTTTGGTACCAAGTAATCATCACATATTCATTAGTCAGTCCAAGGATAATCCACATTTCTGACTTCTTTTATTGTGAACATTTGTTATATTATTTCATTTATGTGAATTTTTAACTTTACTCTTCCTGGCTGTAGTGTTATCATTTTTAATTCTTTGGATCCTTGTGTGGGCGTCGGGGCTCCATTGTGGGAAAACAAGAATAGATCCACTTCCTCCGACTAGCATCTTGTAAGTGTTGACCACCTGGGCGCTTCCTGTGAAGCTGGAGTGCATCTGCCCAAGAGGCAAAAACCAATATTCTGCATACAAATATTTCAGGTCTGTAAAGCAGATTTGCAGGTAACACCCAGGTTTTGGAGCAAGACAAAAAGTCCAGAGGTGTACAAACAACAGTTTACAGCCCATGAACGCAAAGAAAAAAAAAAACTATTTTGGAACCAAACATTGGCTACTAATTCAGCAAAACCTGCATACAAAATATATGGCCAGAGTAAAGAGACATCGAGGAAAATCTTTGAGGAACTCTTGGAGACTTGCTGCTGACATGCAGGTTTATGGAGGCAACACAACTGATAACCAGAGCACATGAAACCAGTCGTGAAAACTTCCGGTCAAAATGGACGCTTAGCAGGGGCACCGTTCGGAGCCGAGGCAAATTTTTTGCTTCTGCTGGATGGTGGCCAATGCATTTTGCCTCATTTGTAGACTGGATATAGTTTCATCGCCCAGCTTCATGAATGGATGGCATGACACTGTGAGCTGCGGATTTCATTTGGAATGTTTTTTTGACTGTGACCAATGTGGTGGTGTGAATTGTAGATTCAGAAAATGGCGCGATGCCTGTCGCTGCAATGTTGGTGTTGCGATTAAAATTTGTTCGCGTGGTCAATTGCTGATCTGTTGGTGACTTCTGCTACCATCAATGATGAACTGCATTTCTAATGTCGGGCTGTTTGGGTTAGCATTGTCGGATGGCTACCGTATGCTTTAATGCATGTGTATGCTAGATATGCTAGGACAGCACTCTGTCAATCTTTCCACAAGGGACTGTGATAAACATTCGGTGTGTTTTTCGTTGGCACAGGAGTGGAGCAAAGATGGGTTGACCCATTTGCTGTGAAGCTGAAACTAAGACTACCAGACTACCAGACCAGTCGTGAAGAACAAACACTGGCTACTTTAAACTATAACTTCTCTGGATATAAGGAGTTAATGTAATTATGGAATGGTACAGAAGAGTTAGGCCTGATGCTGACCACATCACCCATCTTGTGCCGTTGGTCTATAAAATATAGGTCTAGCCCTATATGCCCTATAAACCTAAAGGCATGGAAAAGGGTCCTTTACCTTTTTTTTTTAAACAGAAGAGTTAAGAACAAACATAAAGAAATCCTTTTCTATCCCTTCTCCCGCCAGGGGTTTTTCAGACAGGATGCCAAAGGCTTCTATGATGTCTGTGGTTCAACGCATAGGCTATCCTCCGAATAAGGGTCCTAAATTATTGATTATTAAGATTATTATGGCCTGCAGAGAATGAGGCACCTGGGTGTAACCAGAGGGTCTGGCCAGCTTACTACACTCAGAAGAAAGGCAAGACGGACTTTTAACCAGATTGTGACCGGTACCATCGGTATTGGAACTCTGGGCTGGCTGCTGAAGATGAGGACAGATCATGCATGAGAATGCCCTAAGTGCTGTGATGTCAATTCTTGACTCAACTCAACTCAACTCTGCTTAAAAAGAATTATCATCACAGCCCTCCGGACAGATCTATAGTTGCTCTGATCCTCTCCTCAAAAGCTCCACAAGTGTAAAACGACTGATAACGCCTGTTCTGTGTTGGTTAATGAAACGTCTTGTCCCCTTAGAGAAATGTTCATTTCTTGCAGCTCCTAGCTACCCTCCGATATCAATCAGTCTAGACAGATACACGGGGTCATTTACACACTCATTGACTCACTCACCGTCAGATCTTCCGGCAAGTAGTTGAAGACGATTGCCTGCAGGATAACTTTCTCTCCCCTGATCACAGAGTATGGCAGGTTCAAGCTCACAAAGAACGGACGAAAAACTCGCATCTGAATAGATACAATCATTTTAGTCTATTCAGAATTAGCTAAACAACATTTACTGACAATCTTTAAAAAAAAAAAATATAAAAAAAAAGATAAAATGTAAGCAAATAATGCAAACACATCTTATACTTCACGTAAAAAACCTTAAAACCACTTTTTTTCCCTAGAAGAAAAAGTGCCTATACTTCACACAATTGCATAACATAAGAATAAAAACCCTTGATTAAAACTATCTACTTTACTTACTTAATGTCAGCAAACGTATTGACAATATTCTTAGAATTTCTTCTTGCCTGTGTGCGTTCCCAGACCCCATTGTGGGGAAAACAAGAATAGACCCACTGCCTACCCAAAAGCATGTCTTAAGAGTCGACTAATTAGGAGCTTCCTTCAAAGTCAGAGGGCATCTGCCTGAGAGGCAAGGAACCAACAGTCTGCATACAAATGAGTCAGATCGGTAAAAAGGATGCGCACAGAACACTCAGGTACAGTCCAGAAGTGGATAAACAACCAAAAATTTCTGCCAGTGTTTACAGCTGGTGAACGTGAAGAAAAAGAAGAAGAAAAAGAAGAAGAAGAAGAATTTCTTGGATAACCAAAAAGTGCAAACCAGATGTTTTAACACAAAAATCCTCGAGTTCGTTTTGGGGCCCCACCGTAGGGAAAACAAGAATATGCCCACTGCCTCCCTAGCTAGCATGTCATAGGAGTTAACTAATTGAGGGTATCATTTGAAATCGTACATCTGCCTGAGAGGTAAGGAACCAACAGTTTGCATACAAATAAGCCAGATCTCTGAAACGAATGTGCATGCAACACTCAGGTTCTGGTACAAGACTAAAGTCTATTCTAGAGTTTACAGGGGTTAAGGCAAAGAAGAAGAAGATAAACTTAACTCTTTGAGTCCTAGAGGGTTTAGCATCACAGGCCCAAGGGGTAGTCAAGAAAGACGTAAAATCGGCGCATCATGCGTTCATTGGGCTTCTAGACAGTAACCTATGAACGTATGATGCGTTCCTTAGGACTCAAAGAGTTAAGAAAGAGACAGTCATAATATTTTTGTCATATTATCAGAAAAAGGAAACTGGAGCATCTTGTCACAATTTGAATGATCCGTAGAAAAAAAAAGACAGAGGAAGACAAATCAAAAAGATCCTTGACAGCCTGGTGTCGAGGGATGTCAGCACACAAATTTCTCTCATATTTAATGCAAGCAAATATTACAAATATCTCTTGTAATTAATATAGGTAAATATTACAAATAGTTCTCATAATTGACGTGAGCAAATATTACAGTCCACGCATCTGTTATATGCATGGATTTTCATCATGGTATGGTGCGCCGCAAGTCGCCCCAGCCTAAAATGGGTACCTGAATGTGTGTCCTGGGGAAGTAAAGACAGCCGGTGTAATGCTGACCACATTACCCACCTAGTGATGTGTGGTCTGTAAAAATATGGGTGCTTTTCCCATATGCCCGATGCACCTAAAGACATGAAAAGGGATCTTTACTTACTTTTACACACCTGTTATAGCAACTGAACTGCTTACCTTAGCTTGTGTCGGGGCAATTCCGAGTCCAGAATCTGAGTTCACGGCGAACGCACTGGCCACCCATGAGGTGATTGTGTCGGGCACTTTGCTGACAACAGAAGCTGTTCCATCAGCACTGTAAGTAACGCAATAGGAGGAACATTTAAAATTGTATATTTATTTGCTGGTGAATATATTTTAAATCCTAAATTTGAAACTATTAATGAATGTTTACTCATTACTTGATACAAAATTACTCATGAATGTTTCCTCATTACTGAATCTCTGTTTTCTAATGTATATTTACTCATGACTGAATTACACATTTTTTTTTTTTAAGTTAATACCACTTTGTTAATGAATTGCCATGTATTAATTAATGTTCACATTATTACTAAACTAACATTATTATTTCATATTTTCTCACCACTTATTTACTATTTATTTACCATTTTTTAATGCAAGTTTTTCTTGTTATGGAATTACCTTTTATTAATATTTTTCTTGTTACTAAAATAAGATTAATTCCGTTTTTTGTTCACTTGTTGCTAAATTAAAAGTAAAACAAAGAACCCTTTTCCATCCCCACCTTTAGGCGTATTGGGCATTCAGGAATAGACCCATATTTTAGAGACCAATCGACACTCGGTGAGTGATGGGGACGACATAACTCCAGCTGCCTTTGCTTCCCAGGACTGGACCTTGTACCCATTCCAAGGCTGTGTCAACCTGGGAGAAAAGGGCCTTTTTGAAAAAAAAAAGTCAGGCTCCATCAGGACCTGAACCCACGGCCTTCGCATCTGCAGGCTAGAGTCTTGTCGCTGCACCATGCTGATTTATTACTAAATTACTATTTGTTAATTAATTTTCACACTGTCAATGTGTAAAGTGACTAGCATACATGGAGTGCGTCAGGAGACCCTGAGAAAAAAGCAAATGGTAGCTTTATAATGAAGAGTAAAATTTTTTAACTCATTCCTGCACACAAGACATGTTCCCTATTGTAAATTTGAATAACAGACAATAGATGGCACAATTTACTGCCTCATTTATTTTGCGATATTTTGCCAGGTGCAAACTACAGTAACAATTGAATAAAATAAAGCGAGTGAATCCTTCAAAGGCAGGTTCACTACCATGTCTTTCTATATACATAATTCTAGATAGAATTAATGAATTGTTATGGCTTCAAGAAATCTTAGCACTGTGCTACTAGTTGACGTATGAAGAATTCAAAATGCTCTGTCCCTGTTTACAGCAAGTCCTGAGTTCAAGAGGTAGTGCTCTACTGACTAAGAGTGGTCGTTCCAATCAGTTACCTATACTTTTTATTTATTATTATTGTTCTTGTTGTTGTAGCATTTTAGCACTAAAAGAGTATGAGCAACACTGAAATATTTGTTATATATGCATATATATAAATTTTATTGAAGTTATATATTTATATTAAATGCTAACTGAGTGATTGCACAATCACTATCAAGAGTTTAGTTTCAACTCATATAGAACAAAATTAAAATTAAAAAAATAGGAAGAAATAAATGAAGCTGGTTAAATGTGCAAGCTTACTTGATTTGGCATTGTTAAACAAACACACACAAAAAACTGTGAGTAATGAAAATAAATCGGTTTCAAAAATGAGGCAGATATGAGAAAGTCAAACACTGACAATCATCTAACTATGATATGGACTGACAGAGATGTGCGAAAGAAGTTATAAATGTGGCAACTAAACACTTTTGAGAGACCAACTTTGGACTCCCAGGATTAAACAGGGTATCTCTTTTATAACTGTTTCAATGATCTGTGTGTGAGAATTCTAAGTCTCCTATTTTACTTTCTTAATAACTTCACATCCCCAAATCTCTTACTCAGCCGGTGACCGGTTATTTCCCATGAATTGCTGCAAACACTTTTTTAAAACCTGTCATTTACTGCCTGACTGCAGTGTAGGCGAAGAGGTCTTTGAGTCTGTGGCTTTAGGGCCTCATAGCCAGTGCTGTCACCACAGACAGTGCAGGTAAGGACTCCCCCCCCCTCCCCTGCCACCCCCTGCAGACAAAAATCCATCAGCTTACTAGGGATTTCAATCAGGGTCTTCCAAATTACAGCCTAGTGTTCTTAACCATTCAGCCAGCCATTTGATGAATCCCAACCATCACGTAATGTGTTATTCCTTTTTTTAAGTTTATAATTTTGGTCAAAACTTAGTAAGAAAATCTAGTTCTCTTGTTGTTACTTCCACAGAGTATTTCTAGAGCCACCTACTGTCAGCAAGTTTTCTATTATCAAAGACTTACTTCAGTGAATCATATATTCCTGTCATATAGTCCTTTCTATAGTTTTAAATAACATTCCGTTTAACAGAATAAGTTCCAGAAACAACTATGTGGAACCGAAAAGATGTAAGCCTACAGGTCAAGTGTTAATTAAATTTATGTGCACATAATCTGCACAGCAGACGTGGAAACAGAAATGACCTGCCAGCTAAACAAACTCTCTCAAAACAATCATATTATTCTCCACTGGACCCAAGCCCACTTTGGCATAGCAGGAAATGAGTTGGCGGAGAGAAATGGAACAAAAGAGAAACAATACATTCTCATTGTCATTATCAGAAATAAAATCACATATCAAGGGAAAATACTTGGAATTTTGGAGAGAAAAAACCCAACAGTAAACACCCACAAGACCCCTCAACAGACTCAACAAAAAACAATATGCAATAATTTTCTATCTAAGAAAAAGACACTGTAGCAGGTTCAACCACCACATACATAAGATACAGACTGTACAGTCCCCACAGCGTACATATCAGATGGAAGCACAATCATCTGAGCACGTTTTGCAGGTCTGTCCACTAACAACTATGAAGAGAAACCTGGCTTAAAGAGCAAAATATGCTGTGCAAGCTATGGGGAACCATGATGAACCTTCAACTAACATGTGCATTCATAGAGGCAACCCACCTGATGATCTGACCTGAGCATACAAAAACTGTACGCAAAGAAGAAGAGAGGATGAAGTACATCAGACGTAAGCTCACACAAATGCAATCTGGCAAATTGACTAGAACTTGACAGTGATGTCCCCTACCCAACTGTCAGGTTGGTCCACATCCAGGTCTCTACAAAATTAGACCTGACTTGTGCTGGCTCCATGAGGCCACTTGACTGAGCTGTGCCATCAAGGAAAACGTTGCCACCGACAGACTCCCTTACTGCAGACTTTTCAAATGGCAGCATCAAGGCTAATTCAGGAGAAGATAAATGTTACCACTATCATTCTTGACCTTCGGATGCAGACAATGATTGCTGCTTTAGTGTGTGATTAATGTTTTACAGCTATATATTAGTAAATGATCAAGCATGTATAGGGTGTCACATACATTGCATGGATATTGCACAAAATGTAACACCAGGGTGACTGTTGCGGTGCATATAAATGCATTTTAGTTGTTTAAAAAGCTG